TAATTATTTATGGAAAAAAAGGACAAGCCTCGTACGTGACTTTGTTCTGTGTGTGACAAAAATGTAGGCAATAGCTGTGTTTCCATCAAAATATAGGCTATTACATAAATTTGTGCAAAACTGGAATAATGCCTAAAAATAAAGCAGCGTTTTTATTCAAAGAGTCGAAGAGAACACAATCGTCACTTTCTTATTAACTTGCGCCAAATATCAACAGTAAAAACAGAATTTACCGCGGCAGAAGAAGCTGCATCAATCATTTTTTATTTAATTAATGTACCTGAGCCTCAGAAGACAATTGACACAATGAACACGTGGGGGCGTTTGAAGCCAGACGCGGAGATCTTGACACGCTCCAGACACTCGGAGGTAATTAATAATATACACTAATAATGAAACAGTAAAGGCATTTTAGATTGACTAAAACAACATTTAAGATGTTCTGCAGTGTGCTCAGTCTGCTGGTTTGTTTTTTCACACACATTTTTATCATCATCTCTAACAAACCATTTTTTAATGTACATACTGTAATTTAAGTGCACTTTGTAGTTTATGTGCATCTTATCAAATTTTTATGCACATCTCCAAAATGAGCTCTAAAATAGGTGTGTGGAAATGTAAGGCTAATGCGAGAAATGCCGCTTCATCTTTAAAAAAGGGGAGGAGACCGACAGAAACTCAGAGTTTAGAGAACAAAACCTGCTCCGGACCAGGTTAGATTCACAGAGTAAGTTACCACGGTAACTGACTCTGAGTTAAAGTTAACTCTCTTTTAGAAACAGGCTTGACTTACCCTGCTTTCTCGAGTTTAACAAACCTGCCATTTTGAAATGGAAAACCCAGAGTTTCTCTCATTTCAGGGTTAAACTACTCTGAGTTTTCACTTAACCTGCTTTCTGAAACAGGCCCCAGATCTCTTTTATGAATGTGTAAACATGAAAAAAACACATGCATTTGGATATTCAGAGATTGGTTTCAGGCCTCCCATGTATGTGGAAATAAATCAGATATAAATCGTTTATGTGACAGTGCGACTATCATGTAAACAGGCAGATCGGATTTATTGAGGCATTGTGTTTTGTATGTCATAAACATGCAACATTGTGGTACTTCTCTGCGGTTTAATGACGTAGAAGGAAGAGCGTGTGTGGAGACACCGACATGGTAAACAACAACAACAGAAGAAACATGGAGGAGAAAAGTAGTCAGTAGTCATAATTTTCTCTCACCAGACCCGAAATCTCTCTCATACCCACAACTTCCTCTGAATTGTGGAGGACACCATATATAAACCATAGACGCAAGCTGTGATGAAGGCCCTTTCTCTACTCTACCACAAGATCATTTTAAAGTTGGTCGAACTTCACATATTTCGCAGAACTAAAAGCAAGACAATTTCTTCCATCGTGTCTAGTGTGGCGCAGATGCTAGAACCCGCCTTTACACATGCACGATGTAGATTTTATGGCAAGTGTAAACATGAATCGGATTTGGGTCACAATTAAAAGAATGTGCAAACGGACAGGCAAAAAAATCAGATATAGGCAACAAATCAGAAATATGCATCAAGACCTGACAGTGTAAACGGGGCCTTATTCAGTGGAGTGATATAAAAACTACTGACTATATTCCTTAGCACTATCAAAGGAGGTGAGACAAAGATGATAAAATTAGCGTTTGATGTGGTACTTGGTTTTATAGTTAAATTTGATAGCCTGGCTTGCATAATATTGTCGTTAATTCATGGAATAACCAATTGTTTTCTAGTTATTCATAACCTTTGAAAAGATTAATGTCAAGCAGTGCTTCTCCACAAAATCATCTGGGGCTTTAATTTGAAATACGATTTCTTACTATTTTGAAGAATTCCTAATGAGTCTTCCAGTGTTTTATTGTTTACTTGCTAGGTTTCTCACAATACTGGAATTTTTGTAGCAATCGATACTAAAATTGTAAAAATGTCCATTTCCCGTGAACATTTGAGCGTTCTTGAGCACGTTCATAAATAGCGCTGATTCGCAATTGTGTTCACGTGCTCAGCAGAAATGTTGTGAAGGTCATCAGTTCACCAAAATCACTGCTACTGAGTGTAACCACATATACAGGGACATTGAAGTGTTTTTAAGCTGATATTCATCAGCGGATCGCTCCGTCAACTTATAGACAAATCAGCTGATCGACGTGACTTTGAAACACTCCAGTGTCTCTGTATCTGTGTTTACACTCAATAAACAGCGGTGAACTTGTGAACTTCACAGCCAATCACAGTCATTTCTGTTGAGCATGTGAATACAATGGCAAATCAGCACTGTTTAGGAACGTGCTCAACAGCGCTCAAATGTTCGCGGGAAATTGACGTTTTTAAAATTTCTGTTTGGTACCGATTTCCAGTATCGTGCCAACCCTATTACTAGCTGAGAAACCGAACGTAAATCCAACTGTATTGTTTCTATATCACTATAATCTAAACTTCGGTTGTTGTTTATATTCAGAACGATGGTTAGAACTCTATAGTTTTAGTTATCGTACTTCACAAGTACCATTTTAGTGTTTTTGCAGTGAAGGACATGTCTACCACCAATCACCAACACTCCAACTTCAACACTCTGCTTCTTAAACAACACCAATGACATTTTATGCGCACATTTTGCCAAGAATCATTGTTCTGGTAGGATTAGTCAGAATGCTGTGACAGATGTTACATTCATTTTAAAGGGGTGTGATTTATTAATGCTAAAAATTAAAAGGCTAAATTAAGGCTAGGTGATTCTGAAATTCAGAAACTTTAACTGACACAATAAGTTATATCCATGAGTTATTTGGAGTCTTTTTATTTTTATTTTTTGCTTTTAAGTTTTGTGCTGTTTGTATGTGTAAAAACGTTGCTTTTTTCACTATTCACTTTGCATCATTTAAAACCATATGCATTTACAACACATACAAGTTATTTTCTCTTAACATGCTTGGTTTTTTTCCATTTGTACTGTCAGTCTAACTTTATTTAGTTTGTAATAAGTTTTATTTTGCTCATGATGTACTCATTTCAATAATTGTGCTTATTCAAAATATTCAACAAATATTCATAATTAGATTTTCCATCAACTATTAAATATCACAAAGATAAGAAATGTGTTATTAGATTAGAAAAACTAAAATTGCACCTCTTAATAGTTGAATATATTTACAGTACAAACTTTTTTATTGAACTATGAAGGCAAAATAGTTGCTGTTTTATGCTACAACCCAATAATTGTGCCATCAAGTTTATTATTTTGGTTACTTGTTATTGCAAAGACAATTTGGGAGAACAGTTTAAATATTAACAAAATTAAATTATTGTTTGGAATACAGCCAATTGGTGTGTAAAAATTAGGGATGCACCGATACCATTTTTTGGATTCGTTCCTGATACCAAAATTCTGAGTTTCGACCGATACAGATCCGATCCCAATACTGTCTTTTTTTGGAACACTTTCTATACCTCTGGTGATAAACTCAAATAATTTTCTTTTGTAAAAATAACAGACCCAAAGGCTACTGTACATGACAGACGGCACAATCTAACTAAAAACATGATGCTTGCTGTAAACTAGATGACGTTATTTGTGCATTTGTCAGCGTATGTTTTCTTTTTTTTAATAAAGATCTTACTTTGAAATCTGTAATAGACTACCACCTTCGACCCTAATCTAAACACAAACTGGTCTGTTAAAAAAAATATTAATATAAATAAAATTACAGTGAAATATTCACATTTTCAAAGTATATTTAGCTTATATTAGGCAAAATAATTTTCTGTTAATGACAATCCATATTTGGTCCATCAGTTTCACTTTTATTAATTTAATCAACTACTTTAACCACAGTGAGTCAGGCTTGTCAAACTATTCACAGCACTGAAAGTTTTCCCCTCGGAAGAATAAACTTATTTTTATAGCTTTCAGGAATCTAAAAAGATACTTTTTCTATTTTTCTATTGGTAAATAATGTTATGATGGCTGTTTTAACATAAGGTTATGATTAAATTGCCTTGTTATGGAATAGTTTGGTAATGAGCAGGAAATGTTCAAGGGCCAATGACAGGACCACATTGAAATGGTCTATATAATATATTAACAGGAACAAATGGTCTTGGAGAGTTTACGTATTGTCATGAATCCGACACGCAGTTTGAATTGTAAATGAATGAAGAATTATTGACAGGCATGGCAACAAGAATCACTGAATTGAACATGAATTTAACCACTTTAATATTCATCTGTACTTCACATTAAACTATAGAATGGCTTCGGAACATTTAGGATATAGTAGGCCTTAATGACAACTTTCTAGGCCCTTATAATAGGCTACCTTCATGGCTTTTATTGGCTTATAAAAGACACATAATATAGCGCAAGATCAGATTTGGATCGATACCACCTGGCCGATACCCAATCAAGCAAAAATATGCGTTATCAAACCGATATCTGATCCAGGTATCGGAATCGGTGCATCCCTACAAAAGATATCTTTCTGTGTATCCTTGATTTCCGGCAAATATATTACTGAATGGCATAGAAGTAAAAAATTTCCCGCCAATTGTAGATGATTTTGTTACTCACAACAGTGCCGTTTAACAATTGCATACATTTAGCATTTCTGTTTGATGTACATAAAAATGGTTCCGGTACTTTCTGTTAACATTGCGATTCAGTTTAATTAGCAGGTCATCGTTCAGTCAATGGCTGCGTCCGAAATCACTTGCTACCCAGTAGCTACTACATTTGAATGTGAATTTACGACACGGCCATTACAAAAGTATGTTCTATACAGTATGAATGTGAATAGTATGACTGAAACTCATACCACATCGTATTTCAGAATCTCGCCAAACGTAGTTGGTCATCTGGGAACATCTCGCATATTGTTTTTAGCGTACTATATAGTATGGAAGTTTGCGATTTCGGATGTAGCCATTTGAATTTTTTGTTTTAAAAATAATTCTTGTGTTGTGTCTTCAGGGGACAGTGGGAAAGTGACGACAGTAGTAGCCACACCAGGGCAGGGTCCCGACCGTCCTCAGGAGGTTTCGTACACGGACATCAAGGTGATCGGGAATGGCTCATTCGGAGTGGTTTATCAGGCTCGGCTCATCGACAGCCAGGAGATGGTGGCCATAAAGAAGGTGCTTCAGGATAAGAGGTTTAAGGTAAAGTCAATTTCAACTATGCAAACTTATGTCACATAATAAAACATCCTGTTTCTATAAAATTCTATAAGCATGTTAAGTCTTGCTTTTAATGTCACGTTTTAATCGTTTTGACATATTGATAGATTAAACATTTAATATTTCATGAAGCAACTACTTGAATATCGAAGTTAGAAGAGCTAAAATGCTAAAAAATCCCATCAAAACAACCCCCCTCCCTTCTTTTTTTTCCATCTTCAGCAGTGTTCGTAAAATACAAAGCAGCAAGCAATGCCTTATGACTCCAAAGCGAGTTGTTTTGTCCAAGTTCTGCTGCCTAGAGGAAACACTGTACTTCACATTTATAGAAGACCACAGTCTTTTCAAACTGACCTTAAAGTGAACCCAGTTTCTTCTTGGTATTAATATTTTAACTGGGCTTGTAAGTGGACTTACTTTTATTATTTTCTTTTATTCACTTTAGTTGTAGTGTGGTACATTACTCTGTTCCACTTATATATTATACAGATGCGATGCAATGTGTATGACTATCATTGATCAATTTATTAGAATTTACGGTTACATATTTAGTGTAATATATTGCCGTCTGTATTTTTCTAAGTGCTTGATTTTCATATATCTTCACATACGGTCTGTAAAACCTTACATTAGTGTAGTAATTTGTGAAGTGTTTAAAAGAACTCAAATATGTGCCTAGGGTATTCACGGTTCATGTTAATGAACTGCACAGGACAGACCCGCAAGGCTTTAAATGCCAACCAGTCTCATCTCAGATTCGAGAAGCATGTTAATACCAAATATAAATGGATCCACTCTGAATGTGGAAACACTGAATCATAAGTACTTGTGGGATCTTGGGTCCTGTATTCACCTGCTGTTATGAGTTTTGGTCTTTTATAAGAGACTAGAGGGATATTCCTGTTTACACCTGGTGTTTTAATTCATCTTTTTTTTTTTACTTTTTTTTTTTTGAAGGGAAGAACGCTTTTTATATTTTACATTTCATTACAATTTAAAGGGTTTACACAAGTTAAAGCTACTGACAGCATTATTGAGAATGTCTGATTGAAGTTAATTCCTTTTGTCAAAGGTTATTTAAAGGTTATATTAAATAAATACAAGAAAGTTATGCAAGCCTGGCTAGCAAATTGAAATATAAAAATAAAACTTCATCAGGTATGCAGTGCCAGCTCGGAGTCTTAGTGTTGCATTCTTGCTGGAGAAGATTGTTGTTTTTATTTCACTAAACTGATTGTGATTGTTAAATTCGTTTGATTTAAATTAATACATTTTTGAAAAAGGATTCACTAGTCAGATGATCAAGTAGCACACTAGATCTGCTGGTTACAAGGGGATAATGCTAATTGAATAGCAACTAAATCTAAAAAAGAAACTTGTTTATATCATTGGGTATGGTGGGAACTAATATTGTTATTTATAGTTATTGTACTTGGTGTTAACAGCCTTTATAGTCTTAGTCTTGGTTATTTATTTATTTATTGATTGATTGATTTGACATGGATATCATCCTTACACTAGACAACCAAATGCATTTGTCTAAGTGTTCTAGCAGACTTGCTAATTCTCACCACCTGTCCACAGGAGACTTGACAAAAAATATGAACAGTAATATAAAAATAAAATAGTTTTGAATATTTTTTTAACCACTTTTTAAGAACACTACTAGAAACTCTTTATTACTTTCTAATTTTAGGCTAAAAAGTAAATCATTCCACAATTTGGTTCCCATAATAGAGTAAACAGATTGACCAAACAAGGTCTTACACATTGGTACAATACAGTCACCATTAGGAGTTGCTCATGTGACTCTGTGAGAGGTTTGATGCCTACTGATCAGATCTGAAAACAGCATTGGAGCATGATTATTTAAACATTTAAAAAACTATTTAAGATTATTAAACTTAATAAAACTTTCAAAACTAAAAAGGTTATGTTTACATGAAGCCTATGTGATGGCATCATTGTTTAAGTCCATAATATTAATTGCTTGTTTGTATATTTAGTCAATAGGCTTCAGTGTAGTTAAGGAGGCTTGTGACCATGATGAAATGCAATATGACAAGTGAGAGAATTTCATTGTGTGCATGTATAATTTTAGTCTGTCTTAGATAAGATTTTCTTTATAAAAAGCCTTGCAGAATTTTCAGGCACCTGTTATGCAAAATCTACTTGTTTGCACAGAACTGTGTATTGATGGTATGTACACTGCCATAACAAAGTGTATAAACCCAACAAGTCCTTTTTTCATTTTCCTAAAATTAGCTGTGTGGCTATTAAAGGTAGGAGGGAAAAAAGCGATGAATCACGATTAATTTTCTAACAATTCTGAATCTTCTGAAAAATTCAGAATTAATTCTGTATTCAAAATAGATTGGGATGTACTGGCCATTGGATTGTGGAGTCCTCAAAGTTTCCCACCCCTAGTGGTTATCCCGCCCACCAATCTTGATTGACAGGCATGTATCATCATGTCATCAGTCTGCTTTCAATTTTTGAATGAGGCAATACAAGACAGGATTTGCAAAGAAACTCTGGATTTCTCCTAAAACATCTCAATTTGCATTCTGAAGACAAATTAAAAGCTCAGGGGTTTGGAACAACATAAGGGCGAGTAATTATTAACAGTTTTTCTGAGAACTAATGCTTCAAGTTTAAAAATTTGGTGAATAGGGGGTATTGTCTCCATTTAGATGCATTCTCTACTGCATTAGCATCTAGAGCAGTGGTAGGGAACCTATGGCTTACAAGCCACATATGGCTCTTTGACCAAAAAAAACATGGCTCTTCAGCTATCCTTCAATAATATTTACAGTTAAATTATAACCGTCAGTTTCTTGTTGAAAATACGTAAGTACAACCTTTCTTTCTTGTAATTTCTTACAGCAAAATGAATAAAGTCAGTTTACAGTAAAACGCCAATAAAGGGCAAACAACTTATGTTTCTATGGTAACCTCGCACACCTAATTTCAAACAACATTCATGAGTGGTGATGGAGAAAAGAAAAAAATGAGGAACATCGAAAGTTTCAAAATGAGTGGACAGAAACATTTGCTTTTATTGAAAGTTCTGGTGCTCAGCTCTGTCTGATTTGCACACAACGCATTTCCTCATGTAAAAAAATCTAATGTTAAGAGACATTATGAAACTTACCATGCAGCTTTTGCAGCAAAGTACCAGCTAAGCGAAATCAGTAACTTAACTGATCAGTGACAAAACATCAGCGTTTATTTTGAGTTGCTTTAAGGCCAAAATTAAATTGTCATTGTTGTTTTCTTAATAAAAGTAAAATAGGATTCTACCACACAAGCTACATTTACCGATTGCAGATCAGTAAGTGACAGCACCGTCATTCACGAAGCTGCGAGGGCCAATGAAAGTAAATCCATATGATTGATATGTTTCTTCTTCTTCCTGTTTTACTGTGGTCGACAACAAACTTTTGGTGCCACCCCTTGCTCTAGTCGGTGCATTCGCCCGCCAACCAATTAGGCTAACACAAGAAACTTAATGGAAACTTAACTTGATGGAAAGATGACTGAGGGAGAGGAGTTTCTAATGATACTACATTGTTACTACGTTATTCCATACAATAAAATGCTCATTCCTAAGAATGTTCATTTACTAAAAATTACTATAGTATTTTTGTTTGTGTGACACACCTGGTTTCATTGGATTTTTGTTTTTGCTGTTTTAGACTTCTGTTTGGTACAACATATTATTTGGAGTAAATAATTGAACTGAAAAATTCTGCCTCATATGTTTCATTGACCATTTCAAGATATGATTGACTTGGATTTAACTTGCTTTGATTTAAAATGAAAATTGCAAAAATAGCATAGATGTAGCTAAGCTACTTTTGCCTAGTCAGGGTTCAACGCTAAGGATTTTTTCTACTGGACCGATTGGGCCAGCGGTTTAGATTTTTACTTGCCTGGCCAATATTTTCACTGGCCCCACCAAAAAAAAGTTAATAGCTATTTCTTAGCCACATGTTTTTAATATTGTGTCAAAAATGTGTTTGAATCTAGAATTTAATATTTTTAAAATGTTAAATGTATGAGCTTATCTTCGCATTGTACCCACGTAAATTCTTGCTTCCAAGACATTCTTTTAGCCTCATAAATTAATTTCGCTGTACTGATTTTTACCAGGTTACAAAAAAACGACATGCTCACAACATCCAATCAGATAGAAGGAACCGGAAAGCAATAGTGTTTACATCACTTAGAAGGTAGCATTTAAAGGCTTAAAAGCACAAACTGTTTCTCGATTCTAAGACTGTATTCATATGCAATTGACAAATAGTCGCAGACAAATTGAACTTTTGTGACAAGGCACTACGAATGGGGCAGTAACAATTCTGTCTACTGTCCAGAGCGCCTCGCACGCTGGCCCCGGGCCACCGGGCAGTCCTTTTTGTTGAGCCCTGCTAGTAGCTTTTAGCTTAGCTTGCTACATTTCCCAGAGGGTAGGTTTTAGTGTAGTTAAGCTACATTTTGAGTAGCTAATAGCTTAACTCACTACATTTTTCAAGTAGCTTGCCCAACATATAACTTGCCAATATATTATATCTCATATGGCGCTTTAAAAAAATGCATTTGCCAAAAAAGTGGCTCTTTGCTGAAAAAAGGTTGCTGACACCTGATCTAGAGTACTAAAGCAATCTGCTCTAATGTTTTTGCTCATGGAAATTTACAGATCAACCAAAATGTAACTTAATTAAGTGCAAAGCAGTCTTTACATACACCATAGAGCTCTGCCATCAGCTTTAAATTGAGTTTTGTGAGCAAACTAAAAAGCAGTGAAATCTGTGCACTTTGATTTGATCGTGTGGCACCTGTTTTCAAATGGGCTGCACAGTCAGAGAAACGCATTTGCACACATGGACGCATTAAGCAAGATAGATGTCTGATTTTCATGCCTTGCCTCTGCTGTCCTTCACACATCATTTCTTTCTCTACAGAACCGTGAGCTACAGATAATGAGGAAGTTGGACCACTGTAATATTGTCAGGCTACGCTACTTCTTCTACTCCAGTGGAGAAAAGGTTGCTTTTTTTCTGTCTGAATTTTCAGTATTTTGTATTTTGGGAGAATGCTTTTTTTTTTTTTTTTTTTTCCTCTCTCTGTTGTCCAATCTAATCTGCATTCTCTTTTCGTTCTCTCTTCAGAAAGATGAAGTGTATCTAAATTTGGTGCTTGATTTTGTACCAGAAACCGTGTACAGGGTGGCACGCCACTTCAACAAGTCCAAAACCACCATCCCCATTATCTATGTCAAAGTAAGTCTCTGTGCCATCATGACTGCGGCCACTATTGCCTATTCATATACACATGTACAATAAACAATAACCTCTTTCTCTATCTCTTCTTTCAATCCTCCCCCACACTTTTTCTCTTTCTTTCTCTCAGGTGTATATGTATCAGTTATTTCGCAGTCTGGCGTATATTCATTCCCAAGGCGTCTGCCATAGAGACATCAAGCCACAGAATCTCCTGGTGGACCCAGACACAGCTGTACTCAAACTGTGTGACTTTGGCAGGTTTGTGTCCTGATGCTTTTCTGAAACTGACCCATATATTGAGGATGATAGACTCATGGCAATGTTCTTTGCTTGGGGGTAAAAAAGTTTGGAATACCTGAGCAGTGGTATGTTAGTGAGAATCCCAGCTCCACCTACACTGCTGAGAGAGATTTTATATGAGTATGTGCTGTGCTCTTTTTCTCTTAGTAACAAAATAAACACACAAATAAGCATGACATTGATGGCAAAACACAGCAGATCATTGAGACTTGGATGTTTGGACAAGCTCTGCAGTTTGGCGTTTTAATATAGTTGGGTCACATTAAGTTCATGATATACAGTAGATTTCTTTGTAGTAAACATATTCACAGTGGTAAACATGAAAAAATATCTCGTTGTCAACTTCGGTCAGAGCTGCACCGTTTGGATTTTTGGGTCGACATCGGTAACTTTAGATAACCGATAACTTTAGAGGCAGATAACCGATATATTATGGCCAATTAATATTTTAAAATGTTATATTTTTATAAGGTGACGCAGTGGCGCAGTAGGTAGTGCTGTCGCCTCACAGCAAGAATGGTCTGTCGCTGGTTCAAACCTCGGCTCAATTGGCGTTTCTGTGTGGAGTTTGCATGTTCTCCCTGCGTTCGCGTGGGTTTCCTCCAAGTGCTCCGGTTTACCCCACAGTCCAAAGACATGCGGTACAGGTGAATTGGGTAGGCTAAATTGTCCATTTGTGTGTTTTTTGTATGTGCGTGTGTTTCCCAGAGATGAGTTGGGGCTGGAAGGGCATCTGCTGCGTAAAAACGTGCTGGATAAGTTGGCAGTTCATTCCGCTGTGGCGACCCCGGATTAATAAAGGGACTAAGCCGACAATAAAATGAATGAATGAATATTTTTATAAAACAATTGATTTTATTTTAAAAACTTCATAAAAGTTTGATCTGATCCTATGAACTAAATAGCTTACTCAAAGCAAAAAAAAAAAAATTGCAAGGTAATTATATTCCCATTTTCACAAATCAGTATACCAAAAATAAATAATTTTCCTTTCTTCACATTGCAAAGTAACATGCAGCTTGACTGCTGCATAAAAATAAGTTAATAGTTTAAATAACAAAATAGGATTTAAGTAATGTATAATATATAATAAAAAAAAAAAAAAAAATATATATATATATATATATACACATGCATACATACATACATTATATATATATATATATATAATGTATGTATGTGTGTGTGTGTGTGTGTGTATATATATATATATATATATATATATATATATAATATAAAATACATTTTTTTTAAGTGAAATGAAAAAAAAAATCGAAGAACTGAAACCAGCTCAAATGTTCTTGAGTAAAACGTGTTACAGTAATGTACATATGTAGAAATATGTCATGTCCGAAAACGTGTACAAGCAAAAAGCTAAATACAGTTAGTTACTTTAGAAAATGCGGATTAGATTCTTTTGAACACATGTACGTGTGGTTTGTCAATCATACAACGCTTCAATTCTTGTTATTGCCCTTAATTGTGGGAAAAATGATCATTGAGTGATTTATGATAATCCGCTGTGAGTTTGAAAATTTAACTGCAGGCGCTGTATGATGCGTCGCGCAACTTTAGATTTTTGTAAGCCGATTTTTAACAAAGTCGAATCAACATCAACTAGTCGCTGGTGAAGTCATCAAAATGCCACAATTTGCGATTTCTTTGCAGGAACTATGTACACATGCTGTTTGACAGCTGTATTTTAGTCCAAACAAATGCGTCAACACTTTCATTTTGTTAATAATGCAGCATTAGCACCCGCGCTAATTTTAATGCGAAGTAAATGCAGTCAATACATTAATTACTGCATGTACTACTAAGAGTGTAACAATAACAGATATTTTAGAGCAGAAGTAATGCATACATTGCCAGCACACAGATTCATGTGAAGTTATTTCATAACATAACTTATGAAAGACAAAGGCTGTAACTTTAAAGGCTGATTTATACTTCTGCGTCAAGCACTCGTGTATGCTCTGACGCATTCTTCGTGCAGTTGCAAAGCCCTCGCCGTGGCTGACACAGACGTGTAGCGCAAGCCCTGTTATTGGCCGATTTGACAGTGGTGACTAGCGTGGCCGGGACCGAACGCAGCGTGAACTAGGCATGGGCCGGTACAAAATACACATATACGCAGACAAATACGCATAGCGCAGACACATATATATATACACACACACACACACACAAAGACAGAGAGATACGCGGCTGTGCTGATGAAGTGAATCTGAAGTGAATGGCTGTACTTCATTACACACATGCACTGTTTTCAAACATGTTAAACTTGTAAAACTCACTCTTGATCACGTTTGATGATGATTGATGACCCTAACAAACTGAACAGACCTTTTATTCCCGGTTGCTTTGCGCTCATCCTGTCTTGTTGATATAATTATATGTGGAACTACGGAGACACGTCAATGCGCGCACCTGTCAATCAATATAGGTGGGTGGGTGGAACGCACTCCTACGTCAAGTTGTGGTTGATTTGAAAAATGCTCCAATTGGTCCACCATTTTTATGTTGTTAAATTTGGAAAAAATGACTGGGTTTGTTTATTTCACCCCAATATGACGGTATATACACTATACTTGCATCTCTGTCCAAATAGCTTTAAAAGTAGATTTTTCACCATAGGTTTCCTTTAAGGCTGTACTCACACTAGGTACAGTTGCCTCGAACCGGGCCAAAGCACGCTTGTCCCCCCTCCAGTCTCCCCCGACGGCCCGCACTCACACCACAAATGGGCCTCGGCATGCTTACGTCATCGCTGCTGCGCTGTTCAGTGAGTAGCGCTCTCTCACTCAGCAGCACAGTGGAGATTTCTCTAGTTATATCGTTTTAGTCGTTTGTTATGCAGTGACATGCAGTCAAATATTTCGCCAAACAGTCCTTAGGGATGCGGGGACACGCAGTCAGATATTTCGCCGAACAGATCCGCCTCTTAGCTCTCGTGCTGCAGGAATGAGGAGGTCTGATGAAGCCGCACAGCTGTCGTGCAGTGAGGGGTTTGCGTCTTTTATGAACTACGGCAGTTTGCGTTCACTGAACAGTAAGAATGATTAATAAATCCATATGAAACAGCCCCTTAAAAGTCACGTCTCGCTTTCAGTTTCGGGCTTTGGCGCGTTTTGGACTCACACACAAGCGTACCGTGCCAAAGCCCAAGTGAACCGCGCTCAGGCACACCTCTTCCAACCGGGCCAGGGCCGGCCAAGTGAACCTTGCTTGAGCGCACTTACACTTCTCAAACAATCCGGGAAACGGGCCTGGGCACGGTACGGATGGCATAGTGTGAGTAGGCCCTAAAACGGCATCTTTGGAGATCTTTTCTAAAGGAGATCCTGTTATCCCAAAAAAAAAAATTATACAAAAATTGTACTCATACCTTAGGAACGGTATAGCAGAAAACTTTGCCGGTTTTAAAACTTTGACTTTTCCTAACCACCGTATACCTTGAACGCGGTTATCCTCCCATGCCTAACGTGAACCTGTCTGAGCGAGTGTTTACAAATGTCGAGTCCTGTGAAGGATCTCCAAATGGAAAGTTTTGTTTTGTGTTTACCTTATGATTAATGTTGTTGCACATCCACTGGTTCCCCCCTCCAGATTGGTAAGTTTTAGCTACTTGTACATTAAGGTAGCGTTCAGAAAAAGCAAAACACTAGCCAAGAAACTCGGAACATAAAAACCTCACTGCCAGCTAGTGTTTTGGAAGTGTTATTGCCCAGCAGCAAGCAGAGGTATTTTCGTTGACTGAAATGTGCAAAGCAGGCGCCGCGGGTCACGTCGATCACTTGACACAGAAGTATAAAACAGCCTTAAGCCTTATTACGCTCTCAAAGGCATGCTCGCATGCATATCTTAGGGCTGTCATTGTGCACGCTGAAAAGCTGCTCAAAATCATGCTCAAGTCTGCTGTTTTGAGCCACCTTACTGGCTCATCTTGGTTATTAGTTTAAATAATCTGAGGGCAGTTTCATTCACTGAATTGCACTTCATGTGTAAAGCTGCCCTGTAGTTCAGGTCAAGCCACCTAATCTGCTCAGCGTGACTAGTTGACGTCAATCAAAAAGCGCCACTGCAAAGCATTAAAGTTGACTAGTTGGTGCTACCCTTACTACTTTTTTGTTTTTGGCCAAAAGCAGGCTCTCACATTATTAGTGCTGTAAAAGCATTATCTAAATCCATTTTACATAGATATAAAAATAAATGTCAACTAAATAGATTGCTGCATGTTTTATGAAATGCTGGTATGCATTTAAACATTGATTGTTTTTCTTATTATGTACCACATATATGTAGACATTACATAAAACATTAGGTCATGAAAATGTATTTGAAAGTCCTGGAAAAATAGAAAGGTCATGGAGTTTTCGTAGTAAAATGTGTTTGACTCCTGTATAATTACAAGTATGATTTCCACCAGCAATTCTTTAGTGTGTGTCAGTATATACAGACTCATCTGGATAAAATACATAGCCTCCTAATCTGCCATTTACAGTGTTTCTAGAAATATTCAAGGTCCAAAAAACTGAAAGAATGAGGCCCATGAGCTTAATGATAGACAGCTTATTGTGATAAATGACATCAGTTTAGTGTTAGAGTTCTAATTTAGTTTCTTGTTGATTAATGATAATGATGGCAGCATATTAATTTAGGCTGCTGTCATTTTCAGAACTCTTCCACAAGTGTTTAATTGCACTTCCGACTCAGACTTGACTGACTGTCTTTTAAAGATGGATATTTTGATGTTATTTTACTTGCATTCAGCTTAAATGTTGCATCACAAGTAGGGTTGGGTATCGTTTAGGTTTTTTTTCGAGACCGGTGCTAAATCAATGCTTTTAAAACAGTACCGGTGCCAAAATGGTGTCTGAACCGATACTTTTTAGACAGAAAATTAATCGACCCAAAAAAAAAAATATATATATATATATATATATATATATATATATATCATTATAATTGAACAATATAAATATATATTTATAATAAGTTCAAAGTAAACATCAATACATATTTTATATATTTGAATTGCATTAATATATTTCTTTTGTTCAGTTGTTTGTTTGCATGAATGCAAGATTTGCATTATGCTTATTAACATTACATTAGCTTACTACAAACCTGTGGAAAGGCTGTAATCAAAATCAGGGAACACCTTTTTTCTGGGTTTGGGGCTTGTGACTGCATTTACATGGACATCAGTGATCTAATGATTTGCCTTTATCTGAATAAGACAATAATATGATTCAGGTGTTTACATAAGCTGCTTTTTGAATGTTACATTCATGGTTTCCTGTTACATGTTATAGCATATAGATCCATTAATGCCATTGCATCACTAACCTAATGTTTCCTCAGCAGTTTGTGTCTGTGATCCTTTAAGATAATCAAAAATCACTGTTTACGTAGTAGACTCTTGATCAGAGTGTTGTCTTAATCATATTAAATTAGAGTATTGGTGTTCACGTAAACGTAGCCAGATAATGTCACCAGCTGTCAAGACAATCCATTCCTCACATTTAAGTTGATTCCATGTGCTCTCACATTTAAGTTTGACGTGCTTTCCCCCTTACACGCAACTTTTCTGAAACATCTGCTGCATGTTTGTGTGTCAGAATCGTTGCTTGTAAAATATAGCCATGCTTTAGAATGCTTAGTTTAAGCAAATTAGATGAACGCGATCATGTGTTTTGATGAAGTGAGTCGCTCGCTGTATGCGCCGTACTGCGTGCTTTCCCTTCTATAAGCTACAATAACAAACGCCTGACATCGGTATCCCTCAAAGCTGTTTAGAATTAAACATTTAGAGATAGTGTGACACAACGCTTGCTTATCTGTGCCTTTAATGCACCCCTTTATGCTTCTTAAGGGCGTCACACAGCTGATGCGCCTCTTAGAGCCGCGGCAAGGCGCACACATGACGATAGTATCACACACTAGACTTGCACAATCCCATGTTATTTAAAATGAAACTATTCAGATGGCGCTCTGTGGCATGGCAGAAATATGAACAGTCATGAGTCGTGGCTGGGCACCACAAACAGCCGCAGACTTGAGAATTCTAAAATGCATGGCACTGCGCGTCTCAGAGCGGCACTTCTGGTGCGCGACCTGCTTTATGTTCTTGTTGAAGCACTGAAATTAGGTGCCGAAATTCATATGCTGATTTGATCCGATTCCAAAGGTACTTTTGGCACCGAGTTTCGGTACCCAACCCTAATCACAAGTGCATAAAAAAACTTTTGTAAGCTGAGAAAGAAATCTATGCATTAGTGAATATTCAGTGTGTACCACACTGCTGGATTCTTAAAACTGATAAAACCTGAAGCATGCCAGTTTATCTGTGAAATAGCTGCTGCAAACTCTGGATAAATGAACACAGTTAAACTGATTGGTTTGAATAGGCTGTGGTGGGCTGTAGCACACCATAACAAACTGCTTCAAGCAGCTTGAATGTACCCGAGTGTGGAAAATGGTTGAGAGAGTGCAGCCTCGAGCAGGTATTGTTACAGTGGGAAAGTCGTGGCATTGTCTTAAATTTCAGTAGACTTTTTTTCCTCTTCCTCTGTATTCCTTTTCTTGTCTTTATCCTCACCCTGTCTTTTAAAACAGTACTCTGTAGGCGGCTTGATATTTGAGTTTGACATTGTGTTTTGTCATCTAGCATGTGTTCTCAGCTTATGAATGTACAGGCAAATCAAGTCTGCTTGGTTAATTCCAGTCAGATAACAAAAAACTCTAAACACTAGCTTCCGAGTGCTAAAAGAAAATAACAACAAAAAAATTATGCTCTTTGTTTGGTTGTGTGACAGTACGATTGGATTTTTAAAAATGAATGGTTTCACCCCTATATGTTGCTTTTCTACTTGCATTTGACCTCAACAAACTTTCCAGAGACACAGTGCCTTTAACTAAATTTCCACTGACCAACGATTGTTTAAAGTTCTTTAGGAGCAAATTCATTTTGACAAACAGTTTAAACTGTTGAAGCCGCAAACCAGCCTCACTGTGGCCTTGTCTGAAATTGTTACAGCAGTTAATTCTACCATTTCATTTTAAGCAAATGTTGGGCCTTAACATGCATGTTGGGTCCTGTAAGAGATGGGTGTTCCCAAGTTATGTGGATTGATGTTCTGTGTTAAAGATCTTGCCATTCAGTACAGATTCGCTTCTATGTCATGGTAATGGCAGTTGTTTAGTGACTATTTTGTACCTGCGTTGAATTTGACAAGAGAAATCCCATTCCATCACATGCCGTGTCCTTCCAGTGTGGTCTTGTGGTGTTTGGTCCGCTTTTGTCTGTGAGTAGTAGCTGCATCAAACAATAACAAGTTTGAAGTGTAATTAGCCCTTGAGCAACAACAGCAATAGGACAGGTCACTTCAGATTTTTTATTTTATTTTCTATAATGGAAGACAAACATTAACAGTTCAGTTACCAACATTTATAATTTTTTATCAGGAGAAAAAAAGTTGGGTATGTAAATGAAAACAATTTAAAGGTTTCTAAATTATCCCTTTGATGCAGGGGTTTCAAACTCCTGGAGGCCCTCAGAGTTTACTTCCAACCCTGCTCAATATACTTACCTGGAGGTTTCAAATGGGAATGAATGACTGAGGCCATATCCACATAAGCACGGGTGTAACACTGAGGTTTTCACATGGCTTTGCTGTCTTTCTGAAAACTCTGGCCAGGGTGAAGATTTTCCAAAACTCTTGAGTGCAGTGTGGTCATGTGGACGCTACAACTTGTGATGTCAGCGTGTGCGCTGTTTTCTCCTTTCTTATTGGCCAACATGACTGAGTTCAAACAGAATGTGGAAGACTCAAGTTTCACACACTTGTGGAAAATGTATCTGGTATTGCACATTGTTCTGAACAGTATTCCGCCGCTGTTCTCATGTTTGCATTGTCTTACATGCAATTAACTTATTAATATTAGGGGTGTAACAATTCATCTGACTCACGATGCGATACCAATCATGATACTAATCTTATGAATAGTCTTTTTTTTTTTTTTTTTTTTTAATTATTTGAGACAAACTTGAGTTAAACAAAGACCCTTTTATTTTTTCTCAAATGCGGTACAATTTTATTTAACTTTTATTTTGTTATTTTTTTACAAAAAATATGTTCTGCAGTAACTAAATTGGAATTTTAAAATAAAATCTAAAAAAAAAGTGAATAATACAAACTAAAGAAGACTCTTTGACGATTCACTTAAATTACAAATGTAAAATTAATTCCAAATAAAAAATGAACAATACGAATTAAAGAAGGCTTTTTAACACAAACAAACTGTGACTGTGCTAGAATTTAATGTTTTTAAAAAGAAATATCTGTTTGCTGGCATAGGATAAGGTCTTCCCACATTTACTATGTCCCCATTTACAATGATAAAAAAAAAAAAAAAACTTTTTAACTGGGGACTGAGATGACTGCTGTGGAGAGGAGAGCCTTTCCTAAACCAGAGAGCAGTGTGTACAGAAGTGGTCAATAGGCCCTCTTATCGAGGAGATTAGCCACTGGCATAAAATACTGATTATAATGTACGATATAATAAGCAAATTATTAAAATATGCATGAACAAAATTGGAAAAGAGAGGGTAAACAAGGAACAATCTAATACTGAAACGGTTAAGGCGTTTTAGAATGACCAAAACAACATTTCAGATGTTTTACAATGTGCTCAGCCTACTGGTTTATCCATTCACGCACATTTTTATCATGACATGATCTCTTACAACAAAACCACATGACCTTTTTTAATGCACACACTAGAATTTGTTCGGTAAGAGTGTTTCCATTATAGTTTATGCGCATCTTTTCTTATCGAATAAAAAGTTTATCTTCTCATTTTTATCAACTGTTTTTATGCGCATATCCAAAATTTGCATAAAAATAGGTTAATGGAAACAGACTACAGACATTCCAACACAGAATAAACATTTTCAAATGAGAATATCTGACCTTAGCATTTTCTTTTTCCACACAAACAACTATGTTCACTTTGCATGATTCTTAAATGTCTGCTAACAAATTATGGTATTTCTATGCTTTAGTAGAGTCAAAAACTTCCATACAGCACCTTTTAAAACAACTGTTATTCAGCAGTGCTTTAGAGGTGCAAATTTGTCAAGTGCAACTCCCTTCATTACTTCTAATTGTTGTGCGTGTTGTTCTTTTGTAGTGGTTTAAAATTCCCTATTGTTTGATTTCCACAGTGCAAAGCAGTTAGTTCGTGGAGAGCCAAATGTGTCATACATCTGTTCCCGGTATTACCGTGCTCCTGAGCTAATATTCGGAGCCACGGATTACACATCCAACATTGATATCTGGTCAGCCGGCTGTGTATTAGCGGAGCTGCTTCTGGGACAGCCCATATTCCCCGGTGACAGTGGAGTGGACCAGTTAGTGGAGATCATCAAGGTGAGTGCCGGAGCTACATTGCTGTGCTGTGTTTTTGAGAAGTAACACACAACACTCACAATAATTCTATCTCTGTCCACTCTCTTTAGGTTTTGGGGACCCCCACAAGAGAACAGATCCGAGAGATGAACCCCAACTACACAGAGTTTAAATTCCCACAGATCAAAGCACACCCTTGGACAAAGGTGAAACGCGTGTATCTGACTTTTTGTTCCGCTCACGGAAAGAAAATGTATTACTTTGCAGGAGATTACTAGCGATGCTGAAAATATACAGAAATTGTTTTCAATTAGGCAAAAATTAAACCTAAAGAAAGGATATTCAATGTAGGGCTGCAACTAACGATTATTTTAATAATCGATTAATCAAATTTTTTTTTTATTAATCGATAAATCAGATAAAAAAGAAACGCATTCATTTCCAACCCTTTATTTAAAAACAGAACTAAAATCTTTAGAAAGTGCACCAACATGTTGTCCTTGAACAAGCCTGAGCTGTTATAATAAAAAATAATTTATTAAAAAAAAAAACTTTGTAGTTATGTCCTGTTTTCAATCCAATATTTTTAAAAAAATCTTAAATTGAAGATACATACTAAACACAAAAAATAGCATAAGAAATTATGTCTCGGTTTCTGAAAAAAAAAAATCGTCAAAATTAAGTGATTGTTTGCTTAAAACAAGCTAAATTATTTGCCAATGGGGTAGGAAAAATATTCTTAATAATGAGATATACCAAACAGAAGTTTTAAGCATCACTTAATTTTCTCATGCTATTTTTCTTGTCTTGTAATCTTGATTTAAGATTTTATTTCAGATATTTAGACTGGAAACAAGATGAAATGACTAAGAAAAGCTTTTTTCCAGTGCAGCTATACATGGCAACAGATGGAAAAATAAATGATCTAAAAAAGGCGAGTGAATAAAAACGTTTCTTTAGTCCTGCAATGCAAAGTAACTATACCACCGCTGCTTTACTTCTGTTATTAACCCTTTTATAAGTAATTAATTCACCCCTGCCGATGACGACAATTCCATCGTGATGTTTCACATTAGACATCGTACGATGCCAAATAGGTCGACATCTCCCAAACCTGATTATAATATTTAATAATATTGTGATGTTCAAGATTTGTGAAGTCATACAGCTCAGGATGACGTAAACAGGGTTCCCGCACGATCTTAAAGTCTACAATTTTAAAATCGAAATTTAAGGCCTTAAAAAGTCTTAAATTCGCTGTTCTAGGTCTTAAATAATTTTGCACAGGTCTTATTTTTGCGATGTCTATGTAACGCTACATCTAATGCTCATTTAAATTCTTTTTTGTTGTTGTTGCTAGGTTTTTGGGGTGTTGTAGTTCTTTATTTCACCAGTCCAATTGTAATTTGCGGTATTACAACTACAAAAAGGTCAACTTGCAATAGCCAATCAGCTTTCTGTTATTAAACTATATGTGATATAGTTTAATAACGAATATATAGATTATATATAGATAGATATAGATATAGATTAACGAATGTGACATCATCGCTGTGTATTCGGAAGTTCACTTTGAGTGCGCGCGACATGATTTCGGCTGGCAGAGTATGCCGTTATTTCACTGACAAATGTCGTAAGCACAGTTTTAGAAGTCAAGAGCACTGTAATACGAGAGAGCGTATCTCTGCTCATGCGCCGGTTTCCTCTGTTCGTGGACAAAACGCTGGCTGCTCACGTGCCAATGATCTGCTCTTGCTTCGTCGGACTCCTTTCGTGCTTTTGCTCTCCAGAGATGCTTCAGCATACTGTAGTATTAAGAATAGTGAACTGATATAAATAAAATGCAGTGTAGTTTTACTACAGTAAAGTGTGGTGAATTGTAGAAAACTATACTGTATATTGTAAAAAAAAAAAAAACTAAAGCACTGGGTAGTTTGTTTATATTACACTTGTTGTGTTACCATAGCAACTATTGTATTACCACAACAGATTAATTAAAGTACGGCAAAAACCGCAAGATGCACAGGGCACATAAGCAGCGCACAAAACACTCACGGCTGTTAGTAAATCATTTTAAAATGGTGCCTCTCAATGCAAAAAGCGCATTCGTTGTGATCTCATTTGACATTTTAAGATTGATTTGAAATTATGGAATCAGTCCCAGTGTCCCCACTGCTGATATTTAACTTTTGTTCATGTTGTGTACAAAAAAAGGCATAGTCAAAACACAAATTTTGCTGTCAGTGATTTCAGCCTTTCAAAGCCTTGTTAAAATAATATTTTTGGTTGCCCAAATGCATCAGTAGGTTAAACAATACCTGATGCTGCTCGAAGGTCATTAATGTGTAAACAGGTCAGATATTGTGTGTTTTTGTGTCAGGTGTTTAAGCCGAGGACTCCTCCAGAAGCCATCTCGTTGTGTTCTCGTCTGCTGGAGTACACGCCGGTGACGCGGCTCTCTCCGCTGGAGGCCTGCGCACACGCCTTCTTTGATGAGCTGCGCCAGCCCAATGCCCGTCTGCCTAATGGCCGAGAACTTCCCCAGCTCTTCAACTTCAGCCCTGTGGGTGAGTGAAGCTGAAAGAACTGTCACTTCCATTGCACATACACCACGGCAGAGAGTAATCGGAGATGCACACTCTCGCTTTCTTCGTCTGTCTCTTTATATCTCATACGCATCAGGAACGCTCTGCGCTTTGATACTCTGAGGTGGTGAATAAATCTAGCGAGATGATTTGCAAGCCTTGACCATATTTTAATAAGAACATTTAAACGGAAGCTCTCGTCCAGTCGAGAAAGTGTGTCTTTAACTTAACTGCATGTTGTCAAATAAACAACCAGTCAGTATTAATTAGACGGATCCAAGTCTAATGAACCTAAAAGTAAACACAGCAGAGTAGTTGTTCTCCGTTTGGTGAGTAATTGTGTTGGGCTGAAGCTATTTAGGCATGTCATTAAGGCTCTGTTTCCACCTGGTATTAACGTGCTGGTATTTTGTCATGCTTTACCTCACTTTGTAATTGCTTACTGCGTGTTGACTGAAAAACGCTTTCTTGATCTATGAGCTTTTGAATCCTGAAAGTATTAGTTTCATTAAACACCAAATTGGCAATTTAGAATGGCTAACTATAAGACAATAGCATCCTTTCAAACAGTAATGCAGGTAAATTGCTGTAACATTAACGCAACCGATTTACCGGTAAATTAAAAATTGTGCTGTTCACACAGAGCAGAATTCTAGTAGTATACTGGAAATGTTACAACTTCTCATTCTGGGAAAATTGCATGAGCGAACTTACCATTTTTATGTGTGAATAGAGCTAAAATGCTAATGTCCTGGCCAAAATCCCTCCATCAGCACATACAGTCCATGGCCTCCTAATCATCCCTATCCATTGAATTGGCTCTATCGCTGTCTCTTCATTCCACCAATAGCTGGTGTGTGGAGACTGCACTGGCGCCATTGTCCTGTGGCTGCCATCGCATCATCTAAGGGTGCTTTCACATCTGTTGTTCGCTTCATTTGGTCTGTACCAAGGGCAAAAAATTATATATTGTAGCATATTCTGCCATCTTTGGGTTGTTTTCACACCACACTGATTGCTTTGGTCTGAATCAGTTGAAAAGTACCAAAATGCAGTCACCTGACAAAATCCATATCACTCATTGGCCAGATGTTATTAAACATATTTCCTAAACTCAGGGCCGGAGTGGGACTCTTTTTCAGCCCTGGAGTTTCAAGCCTCAGACCGGCCCACCTCAGTTCACGACTGACTATATTAAAATAAGGTCATTTCCAAATCAGTTTCTAATTACACTATCATGTCTTTTTTTGAGAAAACAGCTGCTTTAGAACTTTAAATGTTCAACAACCCTAACAGTATTATATGTCTTAACAATAAAAATGAAAAATATAATAATAATAATAATAACATACTCAGATGAGAAACAAACCCGGGTCGGCGGCGTCGTAATCTAACATGCTAACCACTCGACCACAACAGTTGTATATCAAGCAGTGACTCATCTGAGTTATATCATTATTAACCTGCAGGCTGGTTATATATAAAAAGGGCAGAGCTGCGGTAAAATAATGAATAAGAAGACTGTGGTCAAGTAAATAAACAAAAAAATTTAAAAAGTGTGACTGCTGATAGCAACAGATTCGGAGCTAGGGACACCGGCCCTTGCGGCCAAAAAACAGACCGGCCCACCGGGAATTCTCCCGGTCCTCCCGATTAGCCAATCCGGGCCTGCCTAAACTGCTTTTCGGTTGGTCAGATTTAACGTGCGGGAAAATGCCAATGGACGTCCTCAAGTAAACAAACTGGCAGACTCAAAATGTCGCTTTTGACTATGGAGCTACGACTGTGCTGATGTTTTAAAGCATTACAAACGGCGAAGGTGCATCATTAGTCACTTCAGGAAGAGGTGTGAATTAATTCTCTCCAGATTGGACTATAGCAACTATCAACTAGCCGGGCTTCCAGCTAACTCTATCAAACCTCTTCAGCTGCTTCAGAACGCAGCAGCACGAGAGGTCTTTAATGAACCTAAAAGAGCACATGACACTCCGCTGCTCATCCGTTTGCACTGGCTGCCAGTTGCTGCTCTGATCAAATTCAAAGCTCAGATGTTTGCTTACAAAGCGACTTCTGGCTTTGCTCCTTCTTATCTGCTCTCACTTCTGCAGATTTATGTGCCCTCCAGAAACTTGCGTTCTGTGAATAATTGTTGCCTCGTAGTTCTATCCCAAAGAGAGAAGAAATCACTTTCGCGAACTCTCGCATTAAATCTACCCAGTTGGTGGAATGAACTCCCTAACTGCATCAGATCTGCAGAGTCACTCGCGGTCTTCAAGAAGCGACTAATAACTCAACTATTTAGTTTCCACTTCCCTTCCTAATCTGCAATTGCCTCTCTGGCTCCACCCCTAACTGTATTACAAAAAAATACATATATATTACTAATGTTTTGCTTCTTACACTTTACATACTTTTTCATTGTTGCTCTTATAGTTGTGTAAATTGCTTCCTTGTCCTCATTTGTAAGTCGCTTCGGATAAAAGCGTCTGCTAAATGACTAAATGTAAAAATTTTAATTTTGCTAAACTGCGACATGGTCATCTTCCAGAAATATTACTCACGATCATCAGGCAATGTTTTTCTCTCTCGCTCTTGGTAAAGCGCTGTCAACAAATATTTTCCTTCACATTCCATAATACACAGCGCATTGGCCTACGGCAGCTAGATTACTTCAAAAAAGGCACAGGAGGTCTCTGTACGCTTTTTTTGGTCCACTTTTGGTGCGCACTCGAGTACGATTGCTACATTCACACCTCCCCAAATGAACGGCACCAGGAGGGGAAACAAACTCTAGTGCGATTCAACCAGACTAAATAGGGCAGGTGTGAAAGCACCCTAAGTAGATGCTGCACACTGGGGGTTGTGTGGAGAGACCCCCCTCATGATTGTGAAGTGTTTTGGGTGTAAGACCATACATGATAAATGCGCTATATAAATACACACTACATTACATTACAATGTGGCTAATTCCACTAAATGTGCTTTTTGAACTTTGAACTCGTTCCAAAATCTGTTTGTATGAACATATTCCATTGCACATAAATATGTTGAATTTACATTTTTGTTGTATTCCTATTGCAGCCTTTTGCTTTTTTTGCTTATAGCAATATTTTATATCGATTACGAATCTATTTCAATTAATCGCACAGACCCAAGTGTAAGGGACACAAATCTAGCTGTGATGATCGGTTCGAGTTTTAATCATTAATGAAAAATGGAAAACAGATTTACATTTTTACAGTCTACTGACATTGTTAATGTACCCGTAAACACACTCATTGTCAGTTATCATAAAGAAAGAAAATTCTTATATTGTGTTTAAAAACAATATTTGCTTTTATCTACAGTTACTCTATTTAAAACAAATATTGGTCGACTTTTATATTTACTTCCCCAAATATTTCTATACAAATAAAATTATTTAACACGCGTTGTTATGATTAGGCTAATATTCGGCTCCATTTAATTCTTTTTTCATGCTCCTCAACTGACATTCACGTCAAATTCAGTCACAAGTCTACCTGTCAGCTAAGGCTAACATGCCAGAGTAACCTACATTTTGAAGCTTTGGCTTCCAAATGGTCTCAAAAAAGTCTGGGTGTTCAAAATAATTATCAAATATGGGAGAAGCAGCACTTTGCTTTCACACAAACAGTACCTCACATTTGTTTCAAAATTGGTGTTGAATGATCTTATTAATATACAGGCACAACAGTGGCCTATTTATCTATTCATTAGATGTGATGGACATTCAGCTTATTAGATTAGGAAACTTGACATTTGGTTTAAATTAGGAACCCTGGGATACATTTTTCATTAAACTCATTACAACACATACCTCAAAATTATGAATCTTGGAAGGTAACATCAATTTGTTAGCGGTGACTTTCAATTTCTGTGACTCTAATCAAAGTCATTTCACTTGGCGGACATTTTTGAAACGCTTTAAATGGCTTTTTCTTTTGATGGGAAACATCAAATTCTCCAAAACTCTTTGCCAAGCGTATGATTACATTACATATTTGGAATCACCATTAAAATAAACAACAACTGTCTCATAAGTTTCGTTTCTAAACAGCATTTTTTCAGGTTGCCCAAGCTAATGCGCATGTGTACTTGAAAAGAACGAGATCACGGCACCAACACCATTTATAGCCGTGTTACACATGATCGTTCTCTGAATAATGATTGTCTGATCGTGCTGGTCTTCGGAAGTAATTCACAACTCTGTCTTGATGGCAAGTCTCCTGTATAAAATGACAGCGACGTCTCTTTGTTTAAGTTTGTGGCCGTTTGAGTAGTTGCTGTCATGTGATGTGCGTTAGACAGGACGGACTGTACCTCGTGTTCGTTTCATACAGATTACGAAAGCAAAAAACTTTTGTTTTCAAGTAGAGTTGCTTCATTAAAAGATGCAAATTTCAAGCTTTATGTGGAGATATTTCTTATGTCTGTGAAGCAAGTATTTGCTGAGATTCCAGTGTGTGTTGATTACAAAAAAACTGTCAAATAAGCACACATCTGGTTAGAGCTTCTCCCCCATAGGAAACGTCAGTCTATAGCGATCGATGATCGGCTCCTGTACTAGTAGGCGGGGCTTCATTCGCCATATTGAACGTTACACTTTTTCCCCCATTCGAAACAATACGAGTGACATGTCTGGTGTATTCTATAGCGTGCTCAAATACAAAGGAATCTTGTTTTTGGCATGTAGCCTACTCACGTTGATGTCTAATCTCTGTCTTTCTCTCTCCTCCTACAGAGCTGTCTATCCAACCACAGTTGAACTCCATTCTCATTCCTCCACATGCTCGCTCGCAGACGACACCTGCCTCGCACGGTACTGATCACACTTACAAACACAGTGCCTTTGATTTACCCTTCATGTCAGTCTGTGTGGATTTGTGAATGCACGTGCCCTGAAGTATACTTCGGTTTTTATTTTTATGCTACAGTATACTGTACGATGCTGCAGATAGACAATGATAAAGTGTGTCAGTGTTGGTCAGAGATATTGGCAGTAGCTGATTTCTTTGACGATTTCAAGGTTTTTTAAAAAAACAGATAGAAAACACCCTTGCCATTTTTGCTTGAACAGATTGGAATTAGACTTCATTGGAAACTGTAAAGAGTTTACGTTCATTTGTGTGCCTGCAATAAACCCATCATGCATTTGTAAATAAAGAAAACATACAGGATAATGATTTGTCATCTCGGTTTGTTTGAGTCAGGGGCGGACTGGGACTAAAAATCAGCCCTGGCACTGTAGCCACATCAGCCCACATTATCACACCGACACAGCCCCACCCTCGGACACGCACATTCACTACTTTTATTGGTGTACAGATGGTAAAATAATATAAGCAGTACCATATATGTAATAGATATTTAATAGATATTTATTTTGTGTTTGGACTTGTGAGGGAAACCCACATGAACATGCAAACTCCTCACAGAAACACCAAATGACCCAGCCGAGGCTCGAACCATTGACCTTTTTGCTGTGAGGTGGCAGCGCTACCCATTGTGCTGCCCCCTTTTGAGACTATTTCAGTTAATTTTATGCATTTGGCAGCGTCTGATCTTAGAGCAATTTTTAAGTTTCTCTGAGCTTTTTGGCACTGCCTTTTCTTTTTTTACGGTTCATCTCTGACAATTAGCTTGTGTTGCACCTAATGTTTGTTTGACATTCTTGCCAGATTTTGATTATGTCCGCGTAACCTCTGATTGGGTCGGCCCATCTCGAAACCAGCTGGCCATTACCGATTCGGGCCAATGCTTAACATTTATTATTATTATTACTAATACCATCATTATCATCATCATCATAATATTCACCTCTTGCAAGAAACAAAAAATGTCTGTATGTAAAAGCAATACTTATAAAAAATAATTAATAAAAAATAGCATACCGGCCCACATTTTAAAAAATGGTCCAGCCCTTCTGGCATTTACCAGAATTGGCAGATGGCCAGTCCGCCCCTGGTTTGAGTGTATTACAAATCATCTAAGCAATGTTACTTTAAGTGAAACTATTTGTCTGTTTCATTTATTTTATATAAATTAGTTTTTTTTTCTTCATTTGCAGCAGCTATTTTAAACTTCGTGGAGTGTCACCAAAATTCATGTCTTTTTAAAATTATTATTGTTGTTGTTGTTATTATTATTATTATTATTATTATTATTATTATTATTATTATTATTATTAATGTTTGTTCATGTAATATAAGAATTCCCAGAATTTTTTTTCTGCCAGACTCCAGGCAATGAAATATTCCACTGAAATCCCCCTGAGGAAATTTTTTTGATTTTAATAATTTAGCAAAACTTGTATTCCTGGTTCACTGATCTCAGATCAGATTGGCATGCAGGTGAACAGATGCAATATTTTTAATGTTTTACAAGAGAGACTGCTGATGAAAACATTTTCATGCACCTCTGGGTTTTGGTATATTTGCTTTAGCAGATTTTATGGTTTCTTTCAGATTTGTGTGTGTTTTTTTTACAAAGAGATGTGTTCATGCAAATTATTAGGGGTGTCAAAATTAATTGTTTCATCTGTGCACCTTGCTGCAAATGGGGACAATTCGATATTGGTTCAGTAATAGATCATAACCGATTATTACGTACTGACATTGTTTATGTGTGTGCGATGTCGCAGTAGAATACAATGGCGAAGGGATTGAGTAAATAAAATGCTCCTACTACTCAAAAGGTAGATAATTATGCACAGTTTTACTGCTTGTGTGAGTCTTTCATTGACACTGAAGAAGGCAGCACACGAGCCGCTATTTCACCACTAGGGGGAAATGCTGTAAAGCTTCATCTCTGCCTCTCTCTCTCTCTCGCTTTGGACATTTGACCCGCTGGTGTGTTTGTGAACTTTTAAAAGTGATACTTGTGGATCCTGACATGAGCGTGCCTGAGGTGCAAGTTTTCTCCACTGTGTTTATTATGGATTACCTGTGGTAACCGCGTATTATGCACATGTAGACTATCTGCGGCTGTTCTTCCAGAGTCACTCATCGGTGAAAAGCGCTTTCATTACTAAAGCCAATCGCAGCTCTTTCTGTTGAGCGGTTGAAGACAATGACCAATCACAGGGGTGTAAAAACTCTCTTGACATTGCTCAAAAAGCAAGCGGGATAATATTTACATTAGTTTATTTGCTCTAAATGCTCATGCTATCTTCTGTGCATGTATTGTTGTTTTGTTTGATACATTCAGAAGGAGTGTTTTCTTTGAGTAGGTCAAATTAAAGGTACAGTCTTTTTTTACTCTTACTTTAATGTTACTGCTGTAATAAGACAAAATTGAATTACAAATAATATATAAATGTTAATATATTAATAGATATTAATTTAAAAAAAATGATTGTGTTGTGAAAAAATGTAATTATGTATGGAAAGAATTGACAATGCTCCGAGATATCGAATTGAAACAAATCGATGGCAAGATAATCATAACCGAACCATGAGACCAGTGTAGGTTCACACCCCTACAAATTATGCCTGATTATATACAAAAAATTATTTTAAAAGAATTGTATGTTTTCCCCAGAAATATGTAGTGATGAATTAAAAAACACCTTTTGGAAAAACCTGGCTTTAATATGTAAACAAGAATTTTTAACTTGACTTCCTGTGGTATTTAAAACATCATTTGAAATGTAAAGTTTATTTCTAAACTAATTTGAAGAGAATCACATGCCACCCAATCTAGGCAAAAAGGTTAGCACTGTTGTCCAACAGAAAGAACACCGCCGGCTTAGTATTTTTCCCTCTCAAAGATCTTCACCTTAAGGCTGATTTATACTGCTACATCAAGCGCACGCGTATGCTATGGCGCAGCCTACGCGTTGACGCATAGCCCTACGCTGTCGGCGTCGCTGATGCGCACCTCTCGAAAAATGTAACCACACGTCACAACGACGTATAGCGCAAGCTCTGTGATTGATCTGCTTGGTAGGGTTGACGAGTCTGGGCAGGGCCGAGAGCCGCGCTAGCCCGATTGAGGGATTGTTTACAAGTGTGGAGTCCTGTGAAAGAGCTCCGAATGGAAAGTTTTGTGTTTACCTCATGGTTAACGTTGTTGCTTGTCCGCCGGTTCCTGCCTCAAAATGATCGAGTTTGAGCCTCTGGTACATTTAAGGAATCAATCAGAATAAACAAAACACCAGCGAAGAAACTCGACACAGGAACATAAACATCTCACTGCCAACTAGCGTTTCGGAAGTGATATTGCAGAGGGACAGAACCAGTGCGCAGAAGTATAAATGCACAGCTACGCGTGTTGCATGCGCCGTGGGTTTCGCCAGTCACTTGACACAGAAGTATAAACCAGGCTTTACAGCGGGGGAGTTTTTAAGATCTACCTGAGCTCAATCTCTAATATCACCCTGATATTTTAAAACTGGGGTGCACAAACTCAGTCTTGAAGAGCCGGTGTCCTGCAAAGTTTTGCTCCAACTTGCCTCAACACGCCTGCCAGGGCATTTCGAGCAAGCCTACTAAGAGCTTGATTGGCTAGCCCAGGTGTGTCTGATTGGGTTTGGATCTAAACTATGCAGGACACCAGACCTCCAAGACTGACTTTGGACACCATTGTTCTAAAAGCAGCACTATGTAAGGCTTTGACCTTGAAATTATGTCACTAAAATAAAACCAGTGGTAGAATAACTTTAACTAGATTAATGCCACTACTGTGACTTCCAGATCTGCCTGTTGTTGCCTGAAATCCCCCTTGCAGCTTTGGGTGAGTGACCCTGTTCACACAACCCTGCCCATCACTGCCAATGGAACCATGGGCATATATAATTAAGCCTTTTCACAACACTGCTGGTGAGAGCATCACTGGCTCCAGCCACTCTGCCGTTGACATTTTGATTGAGCATGTTTTCTAATGGAATAAACCAATTAAAAGCTGTCTGTTAAGTGAAGCTTTTGCGTTCATCTTTAAGTGCTAGTCTAATTTCTACATGCTTTTTATAGAAGACAGTTAATAGCCTTGGTCTTCACGTTAATATATAGATGTGCATCCTACAATAGAAACTGGAAAATCTGAATGGCAATAATCAACCTCTGCATTTAGATTTGCTTGGGAACTAATTTGGTCAAATTTTATTGGACTTCATTCTCAGCAATCCTCTCAAGTGGTGGACTAGTACATTCCGATAGGTTGCTGCTGAACTGTGTCATAGCTCATTACCATAAATTTGAACTAATTTCAGCTCTCCTCAACCCACACCATCCAAAAGTAGTGCATTACGATACATTATCGCTGAACTGTCATAGACCATTACCATAAAGTTGAACTAATTTCTCCTTGAACTGCCTCCTAAACTCTTCTCGACCCCACACAGTCAATAATACATCACACCAATTTCAGCGGGGCTCGCCACCTGCTCCTATTGAAAACTAATGACTTCTTGTGAACCCACAGTATGAGTGGAACAGTGGAATCTGCTTTTAGGCTTGTTGCATGTAGTTTTCCTAGCCCAGGTGAAGTTAGCCAAAAGCTAATTGTGAATGATCTAATGGCTTGGTTCCACTGTGGTTTATTAAAGTAAAGTATGGATCAATACAAGTTCCCTTGACAAGGCTTGTGTTTCCACAACCAACAATACCCTTTTGGTATGACAAAGTTGCGAATAATTTCTTTATTGCTCAAAGAATAAAGCCATGCGGGTTGTTTGCATATCGCATCGTTTGACATTGTATGACATTGAGAATGGCTCGTTGCTGCATCCTGTCACAATTATTACAGTGTCATGTTTCAGGCAATTTTACCAGGTCTGTGGGCGTAGTTTCCAAATAAGCTGTCAGCTTATACCTGCTCTGTCAGGTTAGTCAACAAGTGCACGCAGGGAATTGCAAGTTTTACAACACTGGTAGCAGCGGGTACTCATCAACAAGGTTGAGCCACAAGAGAAACATGCGTAGTGTTGCTTTAAGGCCCCAACATACTTGAAGTTCTTTTTTTGCTCTTCGTTTTAGGACAAAGCGTATAGACCAGGGGTGGGCAAACTCTGTCCTGCAGGGCGGTGTCCTGCATAGTTTAGCTCCAACTCTAATCAAAAACACCTGAACATGCCAATCAGTAGCTGCGTCCCAAATCGCATACTTATGCACTATTCTACGCCATTTTGTAGTATAAATAGTGTAAGTAGTGTGTTCACACTGAAAACTCTAAAAATATAAAGTGCACTTCAATTACCCGGATGATGCACTCATTCAGCCGCTAAAATGAAGTGTGTAATGATGGACACTTCATGCACTCAACTACCACAGGTTTGCTTACGTAGCGGAAGGGGCGGAGCTATCGGACGCACATGTTGAATAACTTTATTTATTTTGGATGGTGAAAGCAAAATTCTCCAACGAGAGTGATTATTGCGCCTCCCGATGGTGAATGCGGCAATACTCGCGGCAGGTATTATTTGATAATTCGGTCGTTTATTTCACTGATTTGGCAACAATCAAACGTCATCAGGGAAACGGTTTGAATTTCCGCTTAGTAAAAAAACATTAGTGTGCCATTTGGGACGACACTACATACATATACTATCCTGTTGAGTGTGTAAGTGCATAAGTACATAGTGCATGAGTGCATAGTGTATAGTGTGCCATTTGGGACGCAGCTAATGTCTTCAAGATCACTAGAAATCTTTAAGCAGGTGTGTTTGATTAGAGTTGGAGTTAAACTGTGCAGGACACCGGCCCTCCAGAACCGAGTTTGCCCACCCCTGGTATAGACGTTGCTAAATTGGTGGTGTCTTGGATGTTGTTTTCCTGTCTGACCTCAGTGGATATGAGATACGACCCAATCGCACGTTGAAAAAGGCAGAGTTATGCAAAAAAAATTATGCAAAAGTTTAGACTGCAAAATTTTTAAAGTATTCGCATCAGATGTTTTCACACTGCATGACTATCTGGGCTAGCGTTTCGTCGTTGCCTTGTTTAAAGTGCAAGATGGATCTGCGACAGGGGATTTCATACTGCATCACTGTACAACAGGAATAATCGCCGACAACTTTATCTCGGTCTGCATACTTCGTCTCACAACCAAAGACATGCAAAAAATTACATGAAAATACACAATGTCTTATAGTATATCTTAGTAACGACATAACGAGAAAGAAGCCTTTATTGGGTTAAAAATGTACTTATTTTGCTCATCTGGCTTTTGAATTAATTTCTCCTCAACTTTGAAAATGAGCCCTTTAAACTTCTCCCCGATCCTCCCGCTGGCCTGCAGGTACCCATACTAGTAGATGCTGCTCACTCATTGGCTGTAGGTGATCACCGATGTTATTTTCAATCAGAACACATTTCACATGGCATGAGTTTGACGGCTCCAGATATTTAGCATGCACAGATGTCAGCGACTCATCTACGATTCTTCTCAGATTGCATCTTTGATAGTTCACACTGTGTGATTGTTACTCGCGTGAAAGAGCACAGATTTGCCTGTGATTTCAGGCATTTGTCTGCGATTTCTCAAAATATGTCAGCGAGTCAAAATCGGGGCTAAAATCATGCAGTCTGAACTCGGCATTACAGAGCACACTCACCGATTACATTATCATCATTGTCCAATTGTAGCTTGTAGGTGTTTAGGATCCAAAAGTTTTACTCTGCTGAAATGTTTTAAACCAGGGGTGCTCAATCCTGTTCCTGGAGATCTACCTTCCTTAGCTCCTACCCTGATCAAACCCACCTGAACCAATTAATTAGGACCTGAAATCCACTTGATAATTACAGACAGGTGTGTTTGATAAGGGTTGCAACTGAAATCTGCAGGAAGGTAGATCTCCAGGAACAGGATTGGCCACCCCTGTTTTAAACTATGAATTCTAAACGAACTTTGTTTCGGACAGACTTTCTTATTAAAATAACTTAATTTCAGTTCATTCTTTGATTGTCATTTGAAGTATTTCGAGACCTTAATGTAGTCGATCAACTCGGGAAGTGTGATGGATTGACTATTAGTGTGTTTTTTTTCCACCTGCAGTGCCTTGTTTTAGTTGAGCGCTAGATAGTAGACAAGAAGGAATGTTTCTGGTGACTTGATTCACAGACTCTGTCAGTTGGAGTGTGCTTTGAAATGCTGTGGGCTTGAAGTATCTAGTGTACTTACCTCTTTGTATATGTGTGTCTTCACAGAGGGCAGCGGTTCAGACGGTCCAGCCCAGTCCAGCTCCGCACCAGGACCCCTGAGCAACAACACCTAATTGTTCCCTTGGCATTACTGCGACGTTATCACCCCTCTCTCCACCATCCCTTCTTTCTCATTCCTCTCTCCTTCCCAACAGCAGCTCCAAACAGTCTCTCTTGCACAAATCTCTTTCTCACACACGCACACTCCCGTCACCTCGTGTTACGTGTACTCACATTCTCCAATAATGGAAGAAGTGTGTGTGATGCCCAGAATAACGACGTCACCGGAGGTCGATTTAAATTCGGTATGATTGAGCTGGTAAGGTTTTAACCCTGGGAGGGGTACGTTTTTGGGCACCTCTGCCCTCTAGTGGCAGGAAGAGCACCGCACAGTTACTGCTCTCTGCCAGCCATCAATTTTTAAAGCTATCGAGCTCATTTAAATTAGATTTCGCTCTTAAAAACGATACCTTTTAGCCAAGTTCTTAAACAAAAGCAAGGTCTGTGATGTGTTTTATGAAGCAGCGAGTGTGAGATGTCCGTGTTTGTGTGTTTTCTCTTCTCGCCGAGACGAAAATGAGTGTCTTAATATGCGTGTATGTAAGTTTTAAGTAATCATTGCACACTCTTTTGGGTTTTAATGTCTTTTAAGGAGAATATTTAGGTGTTTGGATACGCTGAGGTAGAATGGGTGTAGAAACGTGCTCATGCACACACACGCATTATAACGCATAGGTCAATCCCATTAATAGCTGTGTCTGTTTGATTACAGTTGTGCATTATGAAGTCGACACCGGTGTGTGAGTGTTTGTATACATTGGTGTGGCCATTAAATGTGGATTTAGCGGATGCTCGTTCAAAACAAACAAACAAAACACACCATGAACACAGCAAATGAGACTCGAAAACGGAGCTGTTAGTCTTTCCCTTCCTCCATCCTTCCTCTCTCTCTCTCATTGCTAATATGTAAATGCCATGTACCTTTTATTTTGTTATTTTTGTTATTGTTATTCTGTTGTCCTTGTAATTAGATTTTCCTCCTAGTGGAGCAGTGCTGGCGTGAGCAGAAACCAGCCTTTCTCGGTCTCTCTCTCTCTCTCTCTCTTTGTCTCTCGCTCTCTTCTTTTCTTCTTCTCCTTTCCCTCCATCATACGACTGTATATAACATTTCATCCAGCCTCTCCCAGAATCTGGGGAGGAAGACGAAACTGAACAAAATTTTGTTTTTACCTGATATCTTTCAGTCTCTCTCTTTCTTTCTCTCTCTCTCGCTCTCTCTCTCTCCTCGCTCGCCCACCGGCCTGTCCTTCCCCTTCCTCATCAGTGTTAATTCTGATCTTTTTATTTATTGTATTGCTGTCTGTTAACAGTCTGATGGGGGAGGGGTTTTGTGTGTGTGATGTCATTTGGTGTAACATTCATATCTCAAACTCCGATAGAATGTTCTGGAAAGGGCAGGTCCACACTATATATACCACACACAGGCTGCTCGGCCCATCGGTCAAGAGATGAACGGTTCACGGGAGAGAGAGGGAGACATGAACTATGTTTTTGTTTGTTGGTATAAATAATAAACTCATTAATAAAGTTATAAAACGTCTCTGTGGGTTGAATTGCTGTTTGTCTGTCCATTATCTGTTTGATTAAAGGCACAGTATGTCATTTTCGCCACTAGAGGGCGCATATTCAGAACAAACAAAGGCATATTTTGATGATGACGAAACTGAGTGTGGAATTAATTCAATTCATCTCTACCTCTACAGCGCTTTTACAAAGAAGATTGACAAAGCAACTTAACGTAGAAGTTCTAGTAGATTAAGGGTGCTTTCACACTAGCACTTTGGTCCACACCCGGGTTCGTTTGACGTCGTTTAAACGTAGTACGGTACGTTTAGCTAGTGTGAACATGTCTTCTGAACACGGGTGCGCACCCATGAATCGTACCCGAGTCCATCTGAAAAAGGTGGTCTGGGGTACGGTTCACTTATGATGTGAATGCAATTGTACCAAATAACGGAAGTGAACCGCCAACTGTACAACAAACTATCGTTTTCATAACGTTCGTTCGTTTGTGTGTGTGTCTGTCTGTCTGTGTCACGTTTCGTACCTTGGTGACATTTGGGACTGAGCCAGGGCAAACACAGTGATACACAGTGATGTCTGCTTGTATTCTCCAAAAACAGCTTCTACAGACACTGTGATGTTCGCTTTCTGTACGTCCAAAAGCTTCTGTACGTCTGTACGTCCAAAAGCTTCAGCAAAAGCAGAATGACAGCGATGTGTGTAGCTACGTCTTTCCATTTCAGCGATTGCTTTTGTGACCGTCACCTAGCAACGGCCGTAAACAAAACAGCAGCTCGATGATGCTAGCGTAGGGGGGTTCAGAAGGAAAAAAGACTGTGAACACAAACCAACCGAGGAGGTGGCAAGGGGGGGACATTCGAACTTGGGTACGGTCCAGGCAATTGAAGCAAGTGTGAAAGCACCCTAAAACTGCGTCAGTCCAGTTAGTTCAGCTCAGTGTGGTTTAATTTTCACTGCTGTAAGTCAAAACACTGAAGAGCAAATCCATGATGCTCAGCTCCACAAGTTCCAAACCAAGAAAGCCAGTGGTGAGAAACAAAACTTCACCAATTGATGAAAGTGAAGGAAAAAAACTTGAGAGAAACCAGGCTCAGTTGGAGACCATTTCTCCTCTGGCCAAGCTTAATGCGCAGAGCAACATACTAGGTGTCGGAGCCTGAAGAATGCCGGACGTCCATCTTGGAGAAGCTGCAGGTGTGATTAGGTCACAGGCGGGTGTTCAGCCTGGCCCACGGGATCACTGTGACGACTTGTCTGTCACTGGGGTCTTTCAGAAATCAGTCTCATGCTCTCCACTCCTCCATGACCATCACAGCATCTGCTCTGTATACGTCCTGGTCCAGGAATATGGAGACCTCTAGAAGTGCTCTGTGGTTGGTATCATCTCTCCGTGTGTGTGTGTGTGTGTTGTCCTTAAGATCCTCAGTGGTTGGCATTATCTTTTCACAGGTCTTTGATCACATCAATGGTGCTGCACGATTTCTAGATGCCTCGGTATGAGTATACCCAGGTGGAAATAGAGAAAGAGAATTAATTAGCGTAGAGAGTGTTTAGAGCAGGAATGCCCAAACACAGTCCTGGAGGGCTGATGTCCTGCAGTTTTTAGCTCCGACTTGCCTCAACACACCTGCACTGATGTTTCTAGAAAGCCTAGTATGAGATTGATTAGCGAGCCCATGTGTGTCTAATAGGGATTGGAACTAAACTTTGCTGGACACCGGCCCTCCGGGACCGAGTATGGGCACCCCTGGCTTAGATGCATGTAACTGATGAGAAGATGTTGGATAATTACTGTATGATGACCGGAATGCCATTAAACACCCAGCAGACACAAGATGTCAACATGATGTCAGATTGAAATTGTACCCTAACGTCGTGGAGACGCTGCATTTTGTTTGGAAATGAAAATCGGGTTTACATCAGAACTCGAACGTCAGCCCGATGTCACTGTCCAATGAGATGTTGAATTTGGTTGCCATACCTGATGAATAAATGTAAGTATTTTGCATCAATAGGATGTTGGTTAAAGATGTTGGCTTGACATTGGGTTTTGGTCACTTTCTAACAACCTAAAATCAACCAAATATCAAAATCATTTGATGTCATTATTGGACATCAAAATAATGTTGTCCTTAGACGCCGGTTAGACATTGAATTTTGGTCACCTGACATCACAACCTAAATCTAACCTAATATTAACGTCTTATGACATTGTGTGCCTGCTGGGCAATAAGTAAATGCACTACAGAATGTTACGTTTACACACATCCACAAATTACGTTGTAAATGCATCAACTTTTAACAGCATCATACTCACTACTCATGAGTACCTTTAAAAGGGCTACTTTTAAATCCTACTTTGAGTAATATTAACAACAGGTACTCACACTACATTTTTAGGCAAGTAATGGTACTTTTACTCAAGTATGCTTTTTTCAGTACTTTTTCCACCACTGTCAGTTTACGAACACCACAGTCACATTGACTACTTTTACATGGACATCAGTAGTCGAATTATTTGGCTTAATCTAATTAAAACAATAATAAAATTAAGGCTTTTACATGAGTTGTGTAACGTGTAATGGTAAAAAAAATCTTCCAAAATTCAATTGATTTATTTTCGGTTATCAGCGTCAGTGCAGTTATGATTTGCCTTGTTGCATTTGTATAATTGTTGCACATTTGCACTGCATGGCATTCAGAGAATAATGACACCAGATGCTCAATTCTGAGTAGCAGTTCAATTAAGCTCAGCTTTTTTAGGCTGAACACAGTGCACTGAAAACAAAAGCTAATCAGGGGGTCTTTGTTGTCCTCTGTTCTGATAGGGTATTAAGCTTTGTAAATGACTTCAGATGACAGGGTAGACTCATGAGATTACACCATGAAAAATACAACAAATGTTAATGTTGTTTTGATTTGATATTACCATTTTCAATGTTAAGTTACTGACTGCATTGATATTCAGAACGCAGCAGCACGAGAGGTCTTTATTGAACCTAAAAGAGCACATGTCACTCCGCTGCTCATCCGTTTGCACTGGCTGCCAGTTGCTGCTCGCATCAAATTTAAAGCTCTGATGTTTGCTTACAAAGCGACTTCTGGCTTTGCTCCTTCTTATCTGCTCTCACTTCTGCAGATTTATGTGCCCTCCAGAAACTTGCGTTCTGTGAATGAACGTCGCCTCGTGGTTCCATCCCAAAGAGAGAAGAAATCACTTTCCCGAACTCTCGCGCTCAATCTGCCCAGTTGGTGGAATGAACTCCCTAACTGCATCAGATTGGCAGAGTCACTCGCTATTTTCAATAAACGACTAAAAAATCAACTATTTAGTCTCCACTTCCCTTCCTAATCTGCAATTGCCTCTCTGGCTCTATCGCTAACTGTATTACAAAAATAAAAAAAATTATTAATGTTTTGCTTCCTACACTTTACATACCTGAAACTTGCTAACAACACTTATTCATTGTTGCTCTTATAGTTGTGTAAATTGCTTCCTTGTCCTCATTTGTAATTGCTTTGGATAAAAGCATCTGCTAATTGACTAAATGTAAATGTACAATAACTATTTATAAAGCAGAAACTGCCTTTCATTTATCACATTCACAATTGTCCATTAATTCAGTGTTGTGTTGCAATATAATGTACATCTGTCATTATTTATGAAAAACAATAAGCACACCATCTACACAGAACTAGTATGACCTTTGTGTTTTTATTAGAGGAGAAGGAGACCTCAGCTCAAGTCTTTTGGCATAGGTTTGATTATATGCCACTAAACCTTCCTACACTGCATACAAATGGAGTTTTGTTTTATCTGACAGATTTGCGGTCACCTCTCTGACTTCCTCTGCAGTCTCAGCACTCTCTAAAATAATGAAAGATGCAAGAGAGCAAACTTACAAAATTGGAAATTTAGTCAAAGATGTTGAATTAAAATGCTAACAGTGCCAACAACAACCTTAACTGGACTCTGCTGTGGTTTTATGAAGCATAAACTTCATTTCAGCAACACAAACCAGGTCTTCACTGTCTGGGATGTTTTTTTTTTCCCTGAGAAAAGCTGAGGGGAAAAGCTAACAGAACTTGATTCCTTGCCATTTGGATGCTGTCTCTGGATCGTTAGCTAAACAGACTGTCTCTGAAACACTCAGTTTGTAAGTCCATTAAAAAGGGACTCGTCCAGATCAAAAGTCCCAGTACTTCACAATCAGAGTTGGGAAAGTTACTTTTAAAATGTGATACATAATATATAGTTACTGTAATTCAAATGTAATTAACTACAATTATTGTCTCTGAATTGTAATGTGTTATGTTTGTATTACTAAGATAGATCCGCAAAATAACCACAGAAGCATTTCTATTTGTTTAAGGGCATCTAATATATTGGCCTGCTTGTTTGATTTTTAATAAACAATTAGTGACGTATGAAGAGTTTAGGTCCCTTTCCTGGTCTTTAAAGTGAAATAGCAAAACCACACCCTTTGGAAATGCCTGCAAAACAATAGTGAATTCTCTCGGTTTAACTGGTAATTAAATTTTTTAAGAAATTCAGTATAAGATCAAGATAAATAAACTACCTCGCTAACAGAATACCATTACTGAAGGATTTCTGATAAAATAAAGACTTGTTTTTAAATAAAACACCCTTGTTATTCCATATGAAACAATTGTGGGGTGAAAAATTGTGTTTATAAACAAATTTCAATGATAGAAGGGCTTGACTATGAGAACTGGAATTTTGTCAACAAAAAAACTACATTTCAACAAAAAGTCTATGCCATCTAGAATACTGAATATATTATTAGGAAATACATTTAATTATTTATTATTTAATTGTCTCTATTCTTCAAAAATTCAAATCTTAAAAAGTGTCATTAAGAGTATTATAATCTTTTTGACCAGATAATTTTTTTTATTAATGCAAGAACGATACATACAGAACAATGCCAGAGGTATCCAAAAATGAAAAAAACTATAAAAATAAATAAATAAATAAATAAAAACAATAATCAGATAACAAAAAAAGATAACAAAAAATATTACAAATAATGCTAGGCTTTGCTAACTCACAATAACTTAAAAGTGTCAAACAAATATATGGTTTTAGTAGCTTTTTTGTTTGTACTCTCCTTAATGGTATTTATATAAATGTTTAGTTAAGTACCACTAAAAACAGGTTTCTGATTGCTAAATTCACGATGGATATGAAACTTATTTAGTATGATCAGAAGATTAATCACATAGGCTTTATTTTCCAACTTATTATCATATTAAAACAAACATTTATACGGTAAAAGAAAAGTTGACAGCACTTTATCATTTTAAATTTAGATACCTTTCCCCATAACCGTTTTGTATATGGACAATGCCAGAAAATATGAGGTACTGTTTCTGGGTATGATGAACAGAATGAACAACTGGCATCCATGTCTTTTATAGATCTGGTTAATTTTGACCAGATTTAGGTGTTATGTTGAAGAAGCACATGACGCAGTTTTGCAAGTACGCTTGACTTCAGAGCAATTCTATTGGTCCACTTGAAATGTGCAGAGGACCAATCACGGTGCGTTTTGTTGAGACGTTCAAAAAAACATTTCTGACAGATACGAAAGGAGAAGGCCGTAATCGGGTGAGTTGTTTATTTTATATCAAACTGAAGCGATGTGTTTGCGACTAATCCGAATTTACCTGCGGTTTCTGTAATTTAGTAGTACCCGGCGTCTCGGAGACTCGACTGGGGGAGACATTCACCGTTTGCTAACGGGCGGATTCCGCCGAACTACCACCGAAGAAGCGCGTGCTGTCCTTCTTCGGCGGTTCTCGCTCGCTTGCACTTTGTGTTCAACGTTTAAGCGCGACCGAGCACCCACAGCGGCGGCACTTTGAAAACATTACTGACGCTATACCTATGGTTGTAATGTAGTGAATATATGTATAGCATATTTTCTGTTGTTCAGTGAGAGGCGGTTGTGTTTCATAACAGCTAACACAGCAGGCCAGCTGAGGCCGCTCGTTGAGGTTGTTAGCTAACCGGTGTTAGCTTGTTAGCTTGGCTGTGCAGCGACTGAGTGGCGCTGTGATTATTCTGTCCTCCAGATCCTCCAACTCAACACAGATCGGGTGGAAGAGAAGAACACAGTTTATTAAGCCATATAGATTTAATGATTTTGTTACTGGCATAGTTGTACTAGTAAAGTACTGTTATTGTGATCAAAGTTCCTGTCGAGATAACGAGATCTGTCAATAGTTTATTACAGTGTATTATGACCAGAACCGAAACCGTTATTTACATTTTTCGACAATGATTGTCAAAGCATCAATGACTTGAATAAGAAAATAAAATAAAGAAACTCCTTGTGATAAGTATAGTGACTTATGGGTAAAAACATTTGATGACTGTATTTCTACCTTTTGACTTTAATGTCAAGGCAGTTCTAACTTATTTTATGCGTTTATTGTTTGAAAGTTTTGTTGTTTTTTTTACAACATATGTTTTTAGTAATAATTAATAATACATTTACTATTTTATTTAGTAATATCTATCTATCTATCTATCTATCTATCTATCTATCTATCTATCTATCTATCTATCTATCTATCTATCTATCATCTAAATACACATTATTGAATATTCCTTAAATGCATTGCATTAATACTAAGTCAATTTAAATTAAAGCTATTATCATTGTTTATTTTTTATAATGTAGAAGCCATAGGAAAAAGTGAATAGAGTTATTAAATAAACTGTAACATTGCAAAATCATTTGATATTTAGTGTGTTTTGTATCATTGTCTTGCTGAAATGCTCACCATGGTTTCATCGTCATCATCCTGCTAATGTAGATGTTGGACTGCAGCAAATAATATTAATTTACAATGACGATGGTCATAAATATAAATGCCGTTTTGAGGGATGTAAACAAAAACAATGGTCCCAGCGTATTTCTTGTTTTACATTTTTAATTTCTATAATAATAATTCCCTCTATTTATATAGTGCTTTTCTAGACACTCAAATTGCGTTACACATTTTTTGGGGGAATCTCCTCATCCACCACCAGTTTGCTCTGCAGCATCCACCTTGATGACACGTAACTTTATTCTTTCATGAATTATTTACAAGTTTCTGACCACTTATAAAATGTGTTCAATGTGCTGCTCATTGGATTGTCAATGCAACCCTCTTCTTCCACTCTTCACACACTGATAGCAACACTGCAGGAGAAATGCCAGCACAGGCTTCAAGTATCCATAGTTTCCAGTGCTGCACATCTTGTTTAGGAGGCTAATAATACTGATCTTAACCTTTTTTATTCCAGCAAAGCTGCAGTATAAGAAATTCTCCAGAAGAAAAATATATTAGGAAATACTCTGGAGATATAGGAAAACATCACTTGGGAAGTAATTGAAAAAGAATAAACATTTCACAGGAAGGCTGATGAACAAAAAAAGAGGTTTAAATTCAGATTTAGTTGCGGTTACATGCATTTAAATAAAGTTGATATTTAATCTCGTATTTAAGCTTGTGCACATTTGCGCTGTAATTTTCAGTCTTTTGTGCTGTCTTGATCGATTATGCAGAGTGAAACTAATGAGTGTGGCTTTGTTTTGCCACAGTTTGCACGTCATGTCATGCTCAGCCCCCTCATGTTAACACTGCTAACGCGCTGTAAGGACATTTCACTTGCCATCTGCCATGAATATCTGTTATTTCACACTCATTCTGGTCTCTTCTTTAAATCATTCCAGTTCATGCTCTTCTTGTCTGTCGCCTCATGCAGACTAAATCAGCCTCAAAAACATTTCTCAACACTTCTGTGCTTTCATACAAATTTGTAATCAGCCAATCACATGGCAGCAACTCAATGCATTTAAGCATGTAGACATGGTCAAGACGCTGTGCTGCAGTTCAAACCGAGCATCAGAATGGGTAAGAAAGGTGATTTAAGTGACTTTGAATGTGACACAGTTGTTGGTGCCAGACGGGCTGGTCTGAGAATTTCAGAAACTGCTGATCTACTGGGATTTTCACGCAACAACCATCTCTAGGATTTACAGAGAATGATCTGAAAAAGAGTAAATATCCAGTGAGCGGCAGTTCACTAGTCGAGCTGATAGAAAGGCAACAGTAACTCAAATAACCACTCGTTACAATCGAGGTATGACATGGCTTCATGACCACAGTGTACCCATCTTCTGATGGCTACTTCCAGCAGGAGAACACACCATATCATAAAGCACAAATCATCTCAGACTGCTTTCTTGAACATGACAATGAGTTCACTGTACTCAAATGGTCTCCACAGTCACCAGATCTCAATCCAATCAAAAGTGATGCAAATGATACAGGCAGGGTCTCAACAGCTGTGCTTTTGAGTGGTACTTTCAAGTCGGTCCAAGCAGGTGAAACCTCAGGATCTACTCAAGACCCTGAAACAAGATTTTCGACTAAACTTGTCATACTCGTTTTCTATGTCTCCACCTTTAGCCACTGTCCCCTCCTAAACATAGAATAGACAGAACAACTCAGTCCAATTTAGACATGTGTTAGACTAGAGACTCAATTAAGACTTGCAGACGCTGAAGACGCTGTTTGACTGCAGAACAACCAACAAATCTTAATAAACAGTTCTGCTTTTAACGAGTCCCCTGGCCTGGGTTCTCATATTTCCAACACCAAAAGGCAATGATCCTCATTCCTTTTAAATAAATAAAAGATTGTGGTATAAGTATTAATACTTACATAATCACAAATGTTTAGAACAGGGAGTTTCACAATTATTTAAGCTGAGGTCTGGGAACAAATTAAAAATGAATAAATAATAATTAATGCAATTTAAACTAAATACAAAAATGTTTATAGTAGTAAATAAGCAGAAAAAAAACAAAGTACTAAAAATTCAGTGCAATATCTATCTATCCATCCATCCATCCATCCATCCATCCATCCATCCAAATCTAAATAGATATCAATTCATTTACTCTTTCATTTTCCTTCAGCTTAGTCCCTTCATTCATCAGGGATCACCTCAGCGGAATGAAACGCCAACTTATCCAGCAAATGTTTTACAACAGCGGATGCCCTTTTAGCTGCAACCCAGTACTGGGAAACACACATACAATCTTATTCACACACATAAAATTTAGTTTATTCAATTCACCTACTGACCTTATTCTAAAATGCGGAACTTTGCCTGTTTTCTCGATTGTTTCAGAACTTCTGATTCAGTCACCTATGGGAGAAATGACTAGGGATAATAAACGTCAGAAAACGGTCAAACTACTTGCTCTACAAACAAATGTTTGCATGACTATACAGACCAAGTAGAATAATATATTAAGAAAATATCAGTTTGCAACATCAAGCAGCGTAACGAGCAGTTTTTAACGTCTAAAAATGAATGGAAGTGAATGAGACCGGAAGTCTCGAGCCAAAAAGATTTAATTGGCTGCGCCCGCTCGTCGACAAAGAATAAAGTGAATAGCGCATGTCTTTGGAAACTGGAGCACCCGGAGAAAACCCACTCCACACAGAAATCCCAACTGGCTCAGCCGGGACTCGAACCAGCGACCTTCTTACTGTGAGGCAACAGTGCTAACCACTGAGCCAATTGTTGCCATGTAACGTGTGTATGTAAATATATATATATATTTTTTTCACTAAATTGGCAATTGGCTGTAGTATGTGCGTATGTGTGAATGAGAGAGTGTAATGGGTGTTTTCCAGTAAGGTGTTGGTTTGTGGCCGGAAGGACGGCACTGTGTAAAATATTTGCCAGAGAAGTAGGCTGTTCATTCCGCTGTGGTGACCCTTGATAAATAAAATCAAAGAAGCGAAAGAAAAATGACTGGATAAAATGTTCACAGTATTATTTGTGTCTTTATATGTGCATATATATATAGTTACTTTTTTGATTAAGGGTTTCTTAGGCAGGCGAGGCAGTGGCGCAGTAGGTAGTGCTGTCGCCTCACAGCAAGAAGGTCACTGGGTCGCTGGTTCGAACCTCGGCTCAGTTGGCGTTTCTGTATGGAGTTTGCATGTTCTCCCTGCCTTCGCGTGGGTTTCCTCCGGGTGCTCCGGTTTCCCCCACAGTCCAAAGACATGTGGTACAGGTGAATTGGGTAGGCTAAATTGTCCGTAGTGTATGAGTGTGTGTGTGGATGTTTCCCAGAGATGGGTTGCGGCTGGAAGGGCATCCGCTGCGTAAAAACTTGCTGGATAAGTTAGCGGTTCATTCCGCTGTGGTGACCCGGATCAATAAAGGGACTAAGCTGACAAGAAAATGAATGAATGAATGAATGAATGAAAGGATTTCTCAGGCCAAGATGCTCTATTTGGGGGTCCATGACATCTAAATGATTGTAATCTCCTGTCAGTCAGTCTGTGAGTGTTTATTCATTTCCCGAAGGCAATTTGGTTGCAGCATACAAGCATGTCACACATAATACACAAAAGCACATTATACAATACAAATTTGACCCTTAAATTAACAACTTTACAGCTGAAGGAATTTATGAAAGTCTAAACCGATTTGTTTTACTAATAGATGTTCTGTATCGAATACCAGAAGGGCGAAGATAAAACCCGTAGTGCTTAGGATGGGAATCGTAACGAAATTTTACATTCATAAATGTAAATTTACCAATAAGAAACCCAACTTTAAGGTGTTGATGACGGAATTATGCTTATATATTAGTAGTATCAGAGATTCTCTAAATAAGAAAGCCCTACGCACTTTAAAACTTTGTGAACTCTACAATGTATTTATTTGATTATTACATATGTATATTTGTATTTGATTTATGCTCACCCCCTGGCATGTATATGTGTGTGTATATATGTGTGTGTGTATATATGTATATATGTATATGTATATATATATATATATATATATATATATATATATATATATATATATATATATATATATATATATATATATATATATATATATATATGTATGTATGTATGTATATATGTGTATATATATATATATATATATCTATATGATAAACACATATTTTTTTTCGACTGTTAAAATGTTATAATAAATAAAAAAATAAAAAAAGAGCTGATTTAGAATAAAGTAATGCTGTGTGGACAGTAGAGGGCGCTGTTATTGAAGTGGAAGCTGTTAAAGCTTGTGTCTCTTGTTATTGTATTGTAACACGTTTACTCAAACACGTTTTTTCTTTTTGCCTGTGTGTTTGTGTGTGTGAAGCAGCCATGGAGTCCTCTTCAGTGTATATGTGTTTTCCCTGTTATCGGGAGTTTCCTACGCTGGAAGAAGTGCTTGCACATCAGATGACCTGCACTGCAGAGAACCCACAACTCCTGCCCAATGAGACGCCAGTTGAAGCAGCAGCAGCTGCCGCCGGCCTACCACAGGTAAACAAACAGACACACACAAAGGCTTGTTTTTATGAATTCTGGGGACATGCCATAGGTTTCTATTGTTTTTATACTGTACAAACTGTACTTTCTATTGCTCCTATCCTTAAAACCAGCCCTCACAGAAAACTGTGTACAGATTTACCAGACTTATAAGCTTTTTGAAAAATGGTGACATCAGAAATGACCTCATGGTTCACCTTGTCCTTGTAATAGCTGTGTAATACCCTTGTCACTATACACAGTTCTGTCCTGATATAGCACAAAACACTGACGCACACGCATGTGTATTTGACTTTCTAAATAGGGACATTGCATAGACTTCTGTTGTTTTGATACACTGATAATTATACATTTTACACCTGCACCAATCCTCAACCCCAACAAAACAACTGTACATTTTATTTTATACATTTTTCTTTTACATTTGAGGAACTTCCCAAAGTCAGGATTTGGAGATTTGTCAGGGTTTGCCCAGTTTTAGAAATGAAAGTATTATCAAACAATGGTTAAGTAGGGAGACACACGCACACACATTGTTGCTCACACACATGAATGTACGCACCATACACATACACATTTATGCTCACACACACACACACATACCTGCATGCACACATCACATACATATGCATGCACATACATGCACACACATCACACATACACATGCATGCACACGTCAATACACATACACACACAAACAAACATATGCATAAACATACCACACATACATTCATGTTAGTACACAAACACACACACACACAAATAGCTGCATGCACACATCATACACACACACCACCACACAAACATGCATGCACTCATCAATACACATTTAAACACAAACACACACACATGCATGTTCGTACACACACACACACACACACACATCAATACATGCATGCACACATCATTACAAATTTACAAACATGCACGCACATGGACACATCAATACATGCATGCATAGATCATTACAGATTTACACAGACATACAAGTTCATGCTCAAACACCCACACACACACACACACACACACACACACACACACACACACACACACTAAACCAATACATATTTACACACACACATACACACACACACACACACACACCACACCACACAAACATGCATGCACTCGTCAATACACATTTAAACACACACACACACATGCATGCATACACATACAACACACACATACACATGCATGCACACATCATAGCATGCACACACAACACACACATACACATGTATGCACACATCATCACATGCAAACACACACACGCACACACAAATGTTCATACACACACACACACACACACACACACCACACCACACCACACAAACATGCATGCACTCGTCAATACACATTTAAACACACACACACACATGCATGCATACACATACAACACACACATACACATGCATGCACACATCATAGCATGCACACACAACACACACATACACATGTATGCACACATCATCACATGCACACACAACACACACATACACATGTATGCACACATCATCACATGCAAACACACACATGCACACACAAATGTTCATATACACACACACACACACACACACATCAATACATGTACACACACATCAATTCATGCATGCACACATCATTACAAATTTACACACAACCACACACAAACACACACACGTATGCATGCATGTACACACACACACACCACACACATACATGCACACATCAATACATGCATGCACATATCATTACAAATTTACACACACACGCAAGCATGCATGCATGTACAAACACACACACACACATGCACACATCAATACAAATTTACACACACACACACACATTCATGCACACACACATACAGATTCATGCTCAAACACCCACACATACACACACACATGTACCTGCATACACGCATCTCTCACACACACGCACTAAACCAATACACATTTACACACGCGAACACACACACACACACACACACACACACATACCTGCGTACTCGCATCACACACATATACATGCATGCATGAACACATCAATACATATTCACCCACACACATACACACACACATCAATACACATATACACACACACACACACACACACACACACACACACACACACACACACACACACACACACACACACACACACACACACACACACACACACACACACACATTAACTCTGAGCTCATCCAAAAAGTAATGTCCCTGCTAAAGCTCAATGGCCTCTCTCTCTTTGTCTTCATGTGGTAGATTTGTCAAATTCCTTTTCATTATGAAAGTCTTTCCTCTCAGTGTTGTTATAGACGGCGTTATCTGGAAATGGCGTGCATTAACATGTGCCTCCTGAAAGCCTGTGAGAAATGTAATCTGTTTTATTCCTCTAATACCCCTTGAACTCATAACTATAATTATCCAAAACAGACTAGAATTTTGAAGAGCAGCTTCCAGTAATCCTGAATGCTCAACTCAGATGGAAAAGGATCATTTTGTAAGCGGATGTATTTATTTATTTTTTTTGTGCAACTCCTAATTTGCCTCTTCACTACGGGGGGCAGAAATTAGGCACTCGGGATTCTGTTTTTATGCTCTGATGTGCTTTTACTTTAGTTCTAGTTGTTATAATAACAGTGCAGTTTCAATTAGTCGCTCTCTTCAAACTGTTTATTAGCCCCAGCTAAAAAATATATAGTTTCTGTCTCTTCGCTTCTTTTTTTAAGTAGGAAATCAGGTGTGAAATAGTGCTTTTTTTAGATTTCTATTAACATAGGTGAGGCCTCTTGCATAGTATAATATATCAGACTAGAGCTGCACAATTAATCGAAAAAGATCGCGATCTCGATTCGACCCCCTAGACGATCTTAATCCAGCATTTCTACCATTCTGTCAATCATATTTTCAAGTTCAGGAGAGAAGCAAAGACTGTAGCAAACATACGTTGCTCAGCGACATGCACACCTCCAAATGATGTTAAAAGAGTCACATGCTGTATTTATAAGGTATAATTCACCTAAAAATGTAATTTTTGTCTTCATATAATGATGTATTCACAGCCAGGAAATCACACGTGACGTGAGCTGCTGACTGTAGCCCCTTTCACACAGTGATACCGGTAAATATCTGGAAAATTTCCGGAACGACTTTACCGGTATATTCAAAAAAGCGCTGTTCACACAGGCGAGGACGTTACGGAAATTTTCCGGAAAAGAGCATTCACACATCCATTCCAAAATACCGGTAAATTCTGACATCATTCACCACAAATGAGCTTTAAACGGCTGCGCTTGTATTTGTAAACATTTGACTAAATTACAAACTCTGTGGATGATCAATATTGTGAACAACTTTCGCAGGATCACTTTCGCATGTCGAGATGTTCATAATATGTGCGTGTGCAGGCGCTCACAGGCACACGCAAAGCTTGAAGGTAAACAAACAACGGCTTATCATAAGCATCTCATCGATGATTATTTACACAGTTGGCATTAAGAAGAACATATAAACGTGATCTGACTAACTTCTAGCAGCTAAATGTGTCTGGAAAAATATTTAAAGGCTTTTATTCTCACAAACCGCGCGGATGTAAATGCGTCTGACTGTTGTGATTGGCTAAAGCAGACGTCTCACGTCAGCACGTTCTAGACGTGCACGCGCTTATTACGGTAATCTTCCTTCTGCATTCACACAGCGCAGCATTCCGGCAAATTGCCGGTAATGTTACAACTTCTCTTTCCGGAAAATAGCCAGAACGAATTTACCGGTATTTTCAAAAAGGACCTGTTCACACATACAACCTTTCCGGAAAATTGCCGGCAAGTCTGTATGTGTGAAAGGGGCTTGTGTGTGCGTTAAAATGAGTTAAAATGAAACCGAAAGCGTGCAAATCATTTAAATAATCATATCGCATTTTAGAGTTATTTTATTTATTTTTTTTATTTTTTATTAATTGTTAACACGTATGAAACATATCAATTCAACCCCCCCCCTTTCTGGTCTCTTGAAACTGGGCTTTACAATGAATAGAAGTTAACATAAAAACAAAAACAGAATACAGTATCAAATATCAATTATACAAAGCAAGGCAATCATTCTGGATCCTGATCATTTCTTTGTGCAATAAACAAGGAGATTTTGTCAGCAGCTAAAGTCCAGATCTGTAATGTACTCATTTGTACCGAGTTCAGTAATAGAACAGAAGGATTCAATGGTACAGGATATTCAATAATTTTTGATAGGATGACACATATCTCATTCCAAAATCTTTGTACTTTCTCACATTCCCACATCATATGGAAAAAAGATCCAAGTTCCTGGTTAGGACATTTATCACAGAAAGGACTAAAGGAGGCATTGATACGATGTCTTTTGAGTGGGGTCCAGTAGGTTCTGTGACAAAAGTTATAGTGAATGAGTTGGTGATTGGGATTTTTAGATGAAGTAAAAATGTTCTGCCATACTCATTCCCAGTCTGTGACACCCTCTTCCAGTTGACAATCAGTTTCCCAACAGCGCTGTAATCGCATTATAGAGTTATGACTGCGACAAGCATTTGATATGTTATTTCTTTCATAGCAAACACAGATTTGTGCATGAAAATAAATGTTTACAATGTCAATATAACTACTCTAGCCTATATAATGCTGACCAGTGAATTAAATGGTTGTCAATGACATATTGCAAGCGTAGGCCTATATCTCAAACATAATTCAACATCAGAATTATTATAAGGAGAATGTAATTATTTAAAGAAACCAATAGACCTACACATAATATTATATTGTTGTTTTACCATATGTTTGAGAAAAAAACATAATCTCATATTAAACTTTATTTTACTTCTACAGAATCGTGAGAGAATCGTGATCTTTTTTTTTAAGCAAAAAAATTGCGATTCTCATTTTAGCCAGAATCGTGCACTAAATCAGACCCCTTATTTTTCATGATTTGTTAAAAAAATTAATAAATTGTGATTTAAAAATAACTGATTTTGTTGTGGTAATTCCCAGAAATTTGCAGACAATTTTGTGATTTAAAAAAAAATCTTATATATAATGTCGTTTACCATATTAGGTAGTCTATTGTGTTAGGTGTACAATCTGGCACAGTGACACAAATCATTAAGATAAAGTTTCTTCATTAAGTGTCTTGTTTATAATTGTTTTTATTGAAAGAAAAACAAGGTGAATTATTATATACAAAGATTTGACAAGACTTTTTCTTGTCTTTTTTCCACAGTCGGGGAAATAAGCATTCAACATATTTTTAAAGTTTGCTGTTGGCTTGAAGATGTAACAACCAAAGAAATCCATATATGCAAATAAATAAATAGGGGTGACGCAGTAGGTAGTGGTGTCGCCTCACAGCAAGAAGGTTGCTTGGAGTTTGCATGTTCTCCTTGCCTTCGCGTGGGTTTCCTCCGGGTGCTCCGGTTTCCCCCACAGTCCAAAGACATGCGGTACAGGTGAATTGGGTAGGCTAAATTGTCCGTAGTGTATGAGAGTGTGTGTGAATGTTTGTGTGGATGTTTCCCAGAGATGGGTTGTGGCTGGAAGGGCATCCGCTGCGTAAAAACTTGCTGGATAAGTTGGCGGTTCATTGCGCTGTGGCGACCCCAGATTAATAAAGGGACTAAGCCGACAAGAAAATGAATGAATAAATAAATAAAAGATCTGAGAATGCTTATGTGGATGTTTGCAAAGCACTCCAGTCAAGTCACGTCGTGTTTAGATTGTCTTAAAGCAAGCAGCCTTACAGCATTAAACATGAAAATAAATTACAGTGCTAATGTCACTTTTAGTTAGAATTACAAGTCAGTTTTCGCTCATGTCTGCTCTGATGTGACACAAAGGGAAAACCAACATATACATACTGTCCCAATAACACACTGATGGAGTAAGTGTCACAAAGTGAAAATAAAGTGGCATTTTAAAACATAAATGAAACAAACTACTCCTGATTAGAATTAACATGCAAATCAGCCAGAATAGTATCGGTAACGTACTTTTATTGGTAATTTTTGAAAATTGCTTTGTATTGACACCCAGTTGAGAAACATCTGGCTGATGACAATTCTTAACGGAAGTTTTATACGTTCACTTGAATTACAATCACAGAAAATTATTTTATTGATTTATTTCAATTGATAGTCAGCCAAAAAATGAAAATTCTGTCATCGTTTGCTCTCCCTTTATTTGTTTGATTTTTTTTAAAGCTTTGTGGAAAAATATAACTTAAACTCACTGCAAAACCCAAAAAGCCAAGGCAACTCAAACTATTTGAGAAAACCAATTGCAATTAAGTTTTTAATTAAAATTTTAATTATTAAAAAACTAATCTTAATGTGTACTGAGAACTTAATCTATTTGAGTAAACGAAGCAATTTGAGCACAGCAAAACCCAATAAATGAGGAGAACTCAAATCAACTAAGTACTATAAAACCCAATAAGTTAAGGCAACTCAAACCATTTGAGGAAACCGATTGCGACAAACCATTTGAGTTAAACCAATCTAAACGAGTACTGTGAACTTACTCCATTTAAGTTGAAGTAATGAGGTATTTCATTAACTCATTACCTTTAACACGGACTTCAAAATCTTTTCAAATGCGTAGTGTTAACTTTCAGTAAATTTTGATTTAATAACATTTATTTTATTTGATAAAGTTGACTGCTGGGTTTTACAGTGCAGAATTTGTTTTTCTATTATGCATGTCAATGGTTACAGGTTTCAGCATTTTTCAAATATCTTCTTTTGCATTAAAGAGAAGAAAAAAAAAAGCTCAGAAAGGTTTATCCGGTTGTTAAGTGGTGACGTGTTGGTGACGTATGTAATACTGTTTCCGGGTCCAAGCTGCCACTCATTTGAGTTAAGAAATTATTCGTTTATGATCACTTTTAATTCCTATCACACATTACAGTTAATTTTATATAAAGTCATAGTGTACACAACAATCTCTGGGCTTGCTGCATCACAAATACCAAAATTTTAACAGTTTGTAAAAAAATGAATCACTTAATGACCATCGGATATTAGGCATGGACATATGTATTGCGATCGTGATTTTCGAAAGTATTAAATCGCTTTGTAATTGTTTATAATTACCTCTTCATGAGTCTCCCCATACAGTTGAATAGAGCGCTTGGACCCGGAAGCCGCTTCACGTGACGTCATATTTTACAAGCGGATAACCACTTGAGGTTTAGTAAATAGTGAGTAAACTTTAATTTTTGGGTGAACTATTCCTTTAACAAAAGCGCACATCAGTGACTCGAAGCAAATGGGCATAAGGCGACATCTGATAATATTATTTTAAGAAGTAGTTTTGGTTGCTTTTTAAAGCTAATATATTTTTTGCATCAATTCATTCCCTGCTTTTATATCAATAGTTTTGATCTCGTTTTTCTGTATGTGATAATGACCATAGCAGCTGGTGGATGAGATGAGAATGCAACCTGGTATCCCCGTTGGCAGTGTCATCATCTCTTTGACTTTGTTTTCTGATCTCCATCTGCTCTTAGCTCATTTGAACCATCCACACTGAAAATAGATAGAACATAAGTTGATCTGTCCGTCCGGTTTATAGACGTCTCCAGCCAAACCACCCTGTCTCTCTGAGTCATCCTCTCTTACTCTTAAATTCCCCCTCATCAAGATGGCTTAAGCGGGTGCTTACATTTTTAAAAAGGATTGCATGGCGAACACATACAGGTTTGTGCCGTGTTAGTTCACCTGTCGCAGTCGGTTGCGTCAGATGACTGTAACACGGACCCCTACGTTGTGCCCTTGGTAACTGTGAATGTTATTTTAAATTGAGTGTGACATGAACTAACTCCTTGAGTGGGTTTTTACACAGTGTTAGAGCTATCGGCACCAGGGTGATATCTCTCGAGGAAGCTGAAACTTGTTTGTTCTTTTTAGTGTGTATAAATTATTAAAGGCCTTTAGATGGAGTGTGTTGAGCAAGTACACTGAAACACTGGATATTTTGAAATTCAAACTTAGATATAAACACATTTTTAATATAAATATTTAAAGGGAATGACAAGTAGTGAAATGCTACAATAGTGTTTAGAATTTAAGATTTACTAATTGGAGTTCAGGCGAAGCAGTGGCGCAGTAGAGGTAGTGCTGTCGCCTCACAGCAAGAAGCTCGCTGGGTCGCTGGTTCGAGCTTCTGCTCAGTTGGTGTTTCGGTATGGAGTTTGCATGTTCTCCCTGTGTTCGCGTGGGTTTCCTCCGGGTGCTCTGGTTTCCCCCACAGTTCAAAGACATGTGGTACAGGTGAATTAGGTAAGCTAAATTGTCCGTAGTGTATGAGTGTGTGTGAATGTGTGTGTGGATGTTTCCCAGAGATGGGTTGCGGCTGGAAGGGCATCCGCTGCGTAAAAAACTTGCTGGATAAGATGGCGGTTCATTCCGCTGTGGCGACCCCAGATTAATAAAGGGACTAAACCGACAAGAAAATGAATGAATGAATAATTGGAGTTTATAGAATTCAAACATTGCTGTCATGAAAGGGTTAGTTCACCCAAAAACTAAATTTCTATTATTGATTAGTCACCCTCATGTCGTTACAACCCTCTGAGACTTTCGCTCATCTTCAGAACACAAATTAAGATATTTTAGATGAAGTCTGAGATAGGGATGCACCAATACAATTTTTTTTTGGAACCAATCCGATCTCAATACCAAAATTCTAAGCATCAACCGATACAGATCCGATCCCGAAACTGTGCCCTTTTTTAAGCATTATACAGCTTCTATAGTTCTAGTGATAAACTCAAACAATACATCTTCTTTAGTAAAAATAATAGACCTATAGGTCTACTGTTTATGACAGACGGCACAATCTAACTAAAAACATGAAGCATGATCTAAACTAGGCTACATTCTTTTAGAATTCGTTATGACATTGATATATTGTGTTCCAGCTCATGTTTCCTTTTTTAATATTAAGATTTTTCTTTGAAATCTGTAATAGGCTACCATTACTGACATTAATCGTTGGTAATATGATTAGCCGTTTAGCAAGCCCTGATATTTTCCTGCAGGTTTGATGCAGACTAAACTGTCAGTTTTACTTAATAATCCCTCGCCAAATCTAGCCGTGAGTGAGACTGAGAACGTTGAAAACAAGGTCCGCCTATATGTTTCAGCGCCAAAAAACAAACTGGTCTGTTGAAAAAAATAATAATTAAAATGAAATGTACAGTGGAATATTCACAGTTTCAGAGTAGCCTATATTAGGCTAAATAATTTTCTGTTAATGACAATCCATATTGTGCCCGTTAGTTTCACTTTTATTAATATAATCAACTACTTTGACCACAATGAGCCAGGCTTTACAAACTATTCGAAGCATTGAAAGTATTCCCCTCGGAAGAATAAACTCAGTCGGAAGGATGAGAGAACAGAAACTTTTAATATTGCTGAAAAAATTTACGGAGCGGCGGGGGCACATCACATCTGCGCAGCCGGTGCATAATTGAGACAGCGCGCAGCCCTCCAGTATCTGCGGACATTTGCAAATCAGCAGCACAAAGGGAAGAAGTGCGTTGAGGATCTGTCCAATGTATTATTGAGCCTTTTCTAGTTTTAAATTTCAGGTAGGCCTACTTTGTTTGTGAAGAGCAGGTAACAACGTTATCTGTAACTTTTATCATTGCTCAGATCAGATTAGCTGATGTGTCTGTCCTCTCTCCTCTCGCTAGGTGGCGATGCAGGCTGTGACGGTTCCCCAAATTCAAACTCAGACAGCTGTTGATCTGTCTTCCCTGCTTCAGCAGAAGAAAACTATTCAGGCGGATGCTCCGCGTGTGCTGTACCAGTGCGCTGACTGCGAGGTCCTCTTTGATGCTTTGTCATTGTGGCAGCAGCACCGTAAGATGGGCTGTTGCCTCGAGACAGAACCTGCAGGAGAGCAGACTGAAGAAACGTATGAAGCAGTTGCCCAACCGCAGCCCAGCCAAAAAGAAAATGAAAACGCCGTGCAGGAACAAAATACGCCTGAACAAACCCAGGTCAAAGAAGTGGTGGAAATTAGATTCGAGAGCGTTAGTCAGGGGTCGGTGGAAGTTGCTGGAAAAGTAGCAGCGCCTGCGACCTCTGAGGAGGAAGAATCGAGCAACAGTGTCTCCAAGGAGGCCTCGGCCACTCATGAGGCTTCGTCTGTGGAGACCTCAGCTGAAGCGAGCAGTCCTGCCACGAGGCGCAGGGGGCAGAAGAAGGCCAAACCCCCCTCCAGCCTGCTCTGTGTGGAGTGTGGACAAAGCTTCAGTCTGGTTCCAGAGCTCGTGACTCACCGCAGGACTCAACATGGCTTGAAAGATGCCATACACCGCTGTGCTGTCTGTGGAGAGGGCTTCCTCAACACCACGCTTTTCCTTTACCATCGCAGGCAGCACCGTTCAGAAGTTGAGGAGGAACCCAAGCAGGCTTCATCTGGCATCCCTCAGATCTCCACAGCCATGCTGGAGGCCCCAGGAGAGGGCCTCCTGCTTTTGGCAACAGCTGGAGAAGGCCAGAGCCTGATGGAGGTGACCACTCTGGAGCAAACCATCACTGAGACCCCTGTAGCGCAAGTGGAGGTTGAGCTGGAAGGCAACGAGATACGAGGAACCGAACAGGAGCCCATGGTTGAAGGAGCAGAGATATTGGTGGAGAAGACTGAGGAGATGCTGGAGGAGCATGAAGCACCTGACCAGGAGGTAAAAATGGAGTTGGTCATTGAGAAGGTTGAAGGAAATGTGCAGATGGAGAAGATTGGTGCGGATGAGGAGATCCAGGATGCGGTGGAGAGTAACGCTTCAGAGAACACATCCACTGCTTTCCTCTGCCATCAGTGTGGATCTGTTTTTAGCAATGATCAGGAGCTGGCCAAGCACCGTAAAGCTGAGCACGGCCTGGAGGCGGCGCTGCACACTTGTGGAGACTGTGGGGCTAAGTTTATGAGTACCACACAGTTCCTGTACCATCGGCGGCAGCATAAGAACACAACTGCGGGACATCTAGTCACAGCTGAAGTCAAAAGCAGACTTTACACTACTGCAGCTTCAGGTATTGTGAAAGACAATCAGGTCAGACTGAGTCCATAAAAGCAGTGCCAAAGAGACCAAGCTAAGCAGGATATCTGCACATGTGCTATGGTTTACTAGCTGGTTATGAAACTTCTTGTTGTATGCTGCACAAAGTCTATAATCAGACCTGGCTAAAAGTAGATTTTGTATAATTAATTAATAAATTAATTGACATTTTGTCCTGATTTTAGAACAATTAAGGTTAATTAAACAGTTGTAGTTACTAGGGGTGCAATGGTTCAATAAACTCACAGTTCGGTATGTTTCACGTTTTAGGGTCATGGTTTCTGTACAATACGGTTTGTGCTATGCTTAGAAAAAAATGCCTACAGAACAATTCAAAGAACAAAAAACATATTTATTGGGTAACAAACAGCTGACAATGCAACAGTTTTAAGGCTCCTACACACCAAGACGCTTTTCGTTTGCGTTTATCGTCAGCGTTTTACGAGAAGTTTTTCCAAATGCAAACCCAATTGCTTTTCATTGGCGTCAATCAGTTGAGTATGGAAAATCACTCCTTGACGTTAGATGGCGCTACACAACTTTAACATCAAGCGTGTGAACCTTCCTCTCCTCTTCTGTGTTACAAGCAAGTGTCAGAAGCTTAAAGTTACTGGTGACTCGAACAAGCATGGATGGTTCAAGCAGCAGCTCCAGCTGTATGAAGAAATTATTATTGTTCACTAGAGCAATAACCAGCTTCATTGCCTCTAGGCATCTTCTTCAATGTGCGCTCGCAGTTTTGGGCTTGAGCACCTCCAAGTGCTGTTCACTGTAACTTCAGCAGCTCCGTGCACGTGAACAAAAGTGCCGATCTGATTGGTGGAGAAGGTTTTGACGCAGTTCATCAAAACAAAAAAACGTGCATGAGGCGTTTTTTTTAAAAATGACGCTTTTGCGCCTGGCGTTTTGCGCGTTTGTTGTGCACAATCACATTGACGCCCTTTGTTTAGTCACGAGGCGTTAAACATCGACGGAAAACGCGAGCAAAAAAATGTCCTTTACACGTATGACTGTAGATTTGCCTATTCTCGTATTAAATTAAAGTAGGGAATTTTGAAAATTGTATGTTCAAATTTATTGCTTAAGAAAACAAGCTTACATTTCTCCTTTTCTATTTTAGATCTCGACTCAACAGTCTTAACCAATTACGCAGATAATAATTGTCAACAAATCTTAATAACTGAGCACTTTTAAAGTATTGATTACTTCTGTTTACATTATGCTTGCTTCAACAAGACAACAACCCATTTTTATTTATGATTTCTTTATGCTTCCAGAGAGCTCTGTTTTACTTAGCACCATGGTACTGCATGAACCTAAGCAAAGAGAAAGCGTTCCGCTCTTCTCTGTTAATTCAGCAGGAACAGTCAGCCGAGAAGGAAACTGTTCTTAGCAGACAGCGGGTAAAAAGTGAATAGTGAGAGTGATTGGTGCCGAAGAACACCCAGAAGGAGCGGGAATGCAGTAAAACGACCTGTTGTATGTCCGCGTATGTATGAGACGCTTCTGGATCTGCACACTGCCATTGATCCGCCTGTTAGTGACCACTGATCTAGGCTATCTTTGCAAAAACAACAAAAAGACGGCATTCGTCATGTTTTTGTGTCTGTCTAAATTTGTATTGAGGGTCTGTTGAAGCAATGCACTGTGATTTGGCCTTACTTGCGGATTTGCATATTCTGAACCGCCGATCACAGGGCGCACCGAGCTATGGAAGAATAATGGGATAATACGTGTTTTTTTTTGTTTTGTTTTTTTTACAAAGAACCGTTACATCCATAGTAGTTACTGTTGACTTTCATTGTGATGAACAAAAACACATTGGAGATGTTTGTTCAAAAAGAAGGGACATTTTAAAGATATTAAAGTTTTAAAGTGCTTAATTATGTATAAGTATCAACAGAACCAAATGAATTAAATCAGAGGATTTCAAATTGTGTTTAAGGAGTCCATGAAAATGTTGCTGACCAAGTTAGAATTTGCTTAAAGGTGCTGTATGTACGTTTTTGACTCTTCTAAACCATAAAATACCATAATATGCTTGCAGATATTTAAGAAACATGCCAAGTGAGCATTCTTGTTTATCTGAAAAATTATTCATATTCTGCTTTGAAAATCTGTTTTCCGTGCCAGAACATTGTCTTCGTTTTGGTTCTTTTAACCCGCCCAATGCCAGTTTAGCCAATTATATTTCAACACCTGGGTTGCCTTTTTGGAAAACCACGTATTTCATACATTCAGTCAGAAGGCTCTCAAAGCTATGGAGCTAGTAATATGCCAAAACAATCTGAATTTGAATTATTTTAATTTGAATTATTGGCAATTGTAATTTAATAATCTGAATTTTTATATGCTGTTAAACATTTTTTGAATTAGTATTTTTTTTATTTTAATTTCTTAATTTGAATTTGAATTTCATAACTTGAATACTGAACATTAGAAATGAGAGACAACTGAATTTTTTAAGGCTGATTTTCTGCTGAATCTGAATTTCACAATCTGAATTTTTGGTTTTGAATTTTAGAATATTGAATTTGGTGTTCTGAATTTCTTCATCTTGAAAATGTGAAACAGTATTTTTACAAACTGGTTATCTGCAGTCTATGAATTCAGAACACCAAAAATATGAAGTTTGAAAATATCTCTAAAAAATTCAGCCTTAAAAAATTCAGTTGTCTTACATTTCAAATGTTCAATATTCAAGTTATGAAATTCAAATTAAGAAATTCAAATTTAAAAAAATTTTTAACGCCATATAAAAATTCTGATTTATTAAATTACAATTGTCAAGAATTTAAATTAGCTCAATTCAAATGCAGATTGATTTGGCATATTATTAGCTCCATACAAAGCAAGCACTCTTGACCGAAATGTGACCTCCGGTGGACAGTAACATTTAACATTATTAAATGTATATGCTTCATTTCACAGTTTTAAAGTTAAATTTCAAACGCATTATTTTTACAATCTGAAGGTGAATTATCTGCAGCTGTATATTGGTAGTATGGCAATAAATGTCATATAAAATGGCATTCAAACTCCCATTATTGGCATTTACCACTGAATAAAGCACATGAGGTGTATACAGGGCCGGCGCATCCATAGAGGCGACCTAGGCGGCCGTCTAGGGTGGCAGAATAGTGAGGGTGGCGTCCCTAAAGCGCCAGTTCAGCTTGCTCCGGCCCTGGGTGTGCATGAGGTGACCATTGTCTGTTTTCTGTTGTTCAGCTGCAAGAAATAGAAGCCGTTTCTAATATATCAATTTCAGGTGTTGGTTAGGACAAAAACTAATTTTAATTTGTAAAATATTCCTTTAATTTAGAACACGATTTAAATCAGCCTTTAGGCTTGAACATCAGACTTTGTTTTTTTTTAATCCTCAATCTGGCAACCTGCGCTTGGGTTTGATTTGATCCAGGAATGCAATACCTGGTTCAATCACTGGGTGTCAAACTTACATACTGCAGCTTTAATAAATATGTACCTAATATTGTAATGTATTATTAATAACTTTCTATAAGAAAATGTTTTCAAATATAATGATGGCAAATGCAGAATATTCAAGAATAATTATTGCAGTCTCAGTATCGCCTCACTTAATCAGCATTTCACATCCTTCATAATGTTTGAGCCTGAAACGCATCAGATTAATTTCCTATTACATGGACCATCTCTTCCATTTACATTTCACATTAACAAAAGTGTTTCTGTCACCAGCAACAGGAGCAGCAGCAGCAGACGGTGGTCTTGAAGCCCCTGCGAAATTGAGCCGTGAATGGTCACGCACCGCTCTGCCCCACGAGTGCCCCCATTGTGGCCAGGGCTTTACTCGCCGCAGCCGTCTGCGCGAGCATGTGTTCCAGCACACGGGCGAGAAACTCTTCAACTGCAAAATCTGCAAAAAGAGCTTCCCGTCTCCAGCCAACCTGCTGCGTCACAGCCTGATCCACGGAGGATCCCGCATCTACAGCTGCCCCATATGTGACAAGCGCTTCTTCCAGCCCACATCCCTCAAACGCCACATGATGACTCACCAGGAGGGAGTCCAGGAGCGCAGGACTCGAGGCAGAGGGAAAGGTAGGGGACCATCAAGTGATGGCCGTCTACACATCTGCCCAGAGTGTCCGGCCAGTTTCAAGTTAGAGGCCCAACTGAAGAGTCACAGGTTTGTGCTCCTTTAACAAAATTTTCTTTGGTGGCATGCAGTTATTTCTGTATATTTAATTTTTTTGGTAATAATCTAACATTATTTTGCTGAGGGTTATTGTAGTGTTGCTTTGTCAGTTTAATTAGGGATCATTATATTTATCATCATCTTTTATTCAAATGACTTATTCAAAATGGCTGATTCATTTAGAAATCATGCAAGTCTTTTGTAAAAGTGTCTCAAAATATTTGTAAAAACTGACCGATTCAAAAATTTAAGACTCTAATGTTGCTCTAAGATGAACAAATGTTCTGCTCTGGCTTTGTTTGAAGCTTTTAGCGTTGGTGTAATTGAAAAAATTGTTTGTAATATTTAAGAATCAGGCGAGGCAGTGGCGCAGTAGGTAGTGCTGTCGCCTCACAGCAAGAAGGTCGCTGGGTCGCTGAGCCTCGGCTGGGTCAGTTGGCGTTTCTGTGTGAAGTTTGCATGTTCTACCTGCCTTCGCGTGGGTTTCCTCCGGGTGCTCCGGTTTCCCCCACAGTCCAAAGACATGCAGTACAGGTGAATTGGGTAGGCTAAATTGTCCGTAGTGTATGATTGTGTGTGTGTGGATGTTTCCCAGAGATGGGTTGCGGCTGGAAGGGCATCCGCTGCGTAAAAAACCTGCTGGATAAGTTGGCGGTTCATTCTGCTGTGGCAATAATAAATAAATAAATAAATTAATTAATAAAGGGACTAAGCCGACAAGAAAATGAATTTAAGAATCAATATTAGCTTATTGTTTGTTGAAATATAGTTTAAAAGATGGCTGCACGATATTGCAACAACATCATCACTGTGATATTTTGTTTTGCTGTGATCTAGATTGCTGCATGATTTTTTTTCTTTTTGAAATATTTATGTTTGACAAAGCAAGGAAATTTTCACATTATGTCTGATAATATTTTTTTCTTCTAGAGAAAGTCTTATTTTTTATTTTGGCTTGAATAAAAGCAGTTTTTAATAAAAAAAAAACATTTTAGGGACAAAATTATTTACCTCTTTAAGCTATTTTTTTTCTCGATAGTCTACAGAACAAACCATCGGTATACAATAGCTTGCCTAATTACCCTAACCTGCCTAGTTAACCTAGTAAACCTAGTAAATTAACCTAGTTAAGCCTTTAAATGTCACTTTAAGCTGTATAGAAGTGTCTTGAAAAAAAATCCAGTAAAATATTATTTACTGTCATCATGGCAAAGATAAAATAAATCAGTTATTAGAAATGAGTTATTAAAACTATTATGTTTAGAAATTTGTTCGTCTCTTCGTTAAAACAGAAATTGGGGGGAAAAACAGGGGGGCTTATAATTCAGGGGGGCTAAAATATAAATATAAATTGAACAATAAAACGTGTAAAATAACATTGTCATCATTGTATCAAAAAAATTGTACAATAATATAAAAATAATATTTATATACATTTAATAATATCTTTATATTTTAATCTTTAATTAATTAACAAATCCTGCAATGTGACTCTTGAGAAGACGCACATTACGATATCGATGCTCAAATGATATAATATTCAGCCCTGATGTAACATTAGTTTTGTATTTGTAATTGCATAAACATGCTGATATTTGAATATACTCTTGTTTAAACAATTACGATTATTCATAGACATGTGACACCCCCTAATGTGCTTGCACAGTTTTGAAAGTTAATAGTATTTACAACAAGATTTATTAACTTTTTCCCGCCATAGATGGGATATCTTTTCTATTGAGAGACTTGGTTTCCGCTACTTTCATTCTGCCATAGCGGGGCACCACACCAAAATCCTTCCCGCCACGGCTACATTACAGCTTCTCATTCAAAACTTTCAGTCATTGTTGTTGTTGTTTTTTTAATAGCAGGTTATAATAACACTAAAACATATTAAAAGGTAAGTGAATTATAACAGCAAAAACTTTTCTGTAACCGTAGTAGTGCTGTGCGTCATTTGTTAAACTTTTTAAGGTGACGTGCTGACAGACTGACTGACTGACAGGTGCATGATGCGTGAGGCCAGCAAACACTGCGTAGCTTTCTGTTAAGATGCACAGTTTCCATAATTATACTTTATTTATAGATAAAGGTCTGTGGTTCTGCATACAATGACTTTATCTTGCTTTAGTTTATAGCCGTTTCACTTTATTTCATGATGCATCAGAACTGTAGGTCTATTGGAGACATTTATAAATATTCCTAGCAAATCTTATAAATGTTGGAGACAAACTCACTACATAAACACACTAAATTGCACTTCAGCAGCGTTTGTTTGACAGCGCACAAGAAGTTTTGTGCACGAGCAGAGGAAATCGGCGGGCAAGAAAAGAGACTTGCATGCTGGTTTTACATAAATGCGATCTTGACCAGTGATACTGCGCTCACGACATTTCTCCATTTGTCATTGAAATAACGCCATAGGTAGTTGGTAGATTTGTGTAAAAGACCTGCCGCCACAGCTGGAAATAATCCTAGAGGAAACACTGAGAGGCAATGCTTTTTACACCATTCACATGCTTTTACAGCAGTCCGTGTTTATGTGTAATAAGGCAATCCCTAGGGCATGTCCTAAATTAAGGGACTTTGTGGTCTCTTGGGTGTTAAATACAAAGATGGTCAGAGTAGATCAGATTGCATGTAACAATGACAAGGTAGCCTATACAGTTAAACAGGCAGGCGTTGATGGACTCTGATCACTCATGTTTCAATCTCACCAGGAGGAAGAAGTCAATAAGAGAGATCCCCGATAACCCGTCAGTCTCGCTTTCTCTTTCTTTCAGCATTGTCCATTCTTTATCAGGGCTCACCACAGCGGAATGATCCGCCCCTGTCGATGTGGATACAGTAATAGACATGTTTGTGTTTTACACACTCTCACACACACTTTTTTTTTTTGGTCAAAAATGTTATATTTTTGATGAAACCCATCATGCCTTTTGTAAAGTAGAGACTTTTTTTTTAATTTATTTATTTTTTTACATTTTTTAATTGCCGTTGTTGACTGGAAGCTTTTTTAGGCTAAAGGGGTCAAACACCACATGCATCACTTAATGACACGCAGCATCATGAATTTTAGAATTCTCAACATAGATTTCTATCAGTGTATGCACTGGTGCTGCCAGTTGGCGGCTGTCCCCGGTGTCCGGCTTTGACCCAGGACTGTTTATATTTCTGCCAAAAAATTCATAATAATTACAAAAAATACTGATTTGTGGATGTCCTTAATTCCGGGTGCTGCGATCCTGCTGTTGTGGCCAGTGTATTTTGGGAAATTTTCTTACCCCTTGGTTTCGAGTGTGGTCCTGAAAAATCTTTGTTCAAAGGGCTGTTCACCCCTTCCCGTTAGCCCTACGGCTTCAAGCTAAAGAGAATTGGGACACCCCTACCCCTTCACAGAACCGCGCAAAACGAGGGGTAGGGGTAAGGTGAAGGGCTAAGGGGTAGAATTGGGATTGGTTTTAAAAGTGTTTTTTTGACCTTGCAGGCATATCAGCCTGTTGTTGGAGACCAAAAACATAAACTTTTTAATGCATAATAGGGGCTCTTTAATAAAGCTGTCTAAATGGAGAGCATCCAGAACATCTGCTTTACAATGTTGTCCACCATGTTAGCTGAATTGGTCACATGTATAAAATGTGTCATCAGTTTTCGAAAGGCTCTGTTTTCAAATGTGTCCACTTTGGATAGCCTTTTCAAAAAGTAATGTCTCAGAAGGATTTTTTATTTTTTTTTATAAGTATTTTAATTGACAATATACTTAACATTGTGTAGAATCTGAAATTACAAGGAATATCAGGATTTTTTTGTAACAATTAGCAAAGACAAATGATAATAACAAAATAAATTAATAAATAAATAAATAAAATAAAAAATTTAAATACTTCAGAATACTTTCAGATTTCAGAAAGTTGAAATGGTTGATGATAATGATAAAAAAAACAGTAATGTCCAGAATGATGCACAAATAAATTACATTTACATATATGATAAAACATAAAATTAAAACAACATAAAAAAAGCAAAACTAACAGTAGTTATATGAAATAATCAGTTATTAAAGTCTAACAGAGGTTAATGTGTCCAGAAATGGTCCCCAAATATAATCAAAGTCGGTAGGCTTTTGTCTGACAGAATACAACATTTTCTCAGGAGTACTATAAGATACGAGCTCATTGATCCAGTGTTTTTTCTCAGATTTCCATTTTTAAAGTATGCATTTTTTTAGCTGCAGTGCTTGCAAGCAAAATAAAATAGCGGCTGTGTTAGGTCAACTGAAGTGAACTGATATCACCTAGTATTCAAATTTTAGGATCTGGATCAATTTGATTATTGGATATCTCAGAAGGATTTTTAAATGAAAAACTATTAGTGTGGTCTGTGGAGATGACCTAAAAAATGTTGGGTGGGAAAGACATTCTTTCCTGTGTGTCTAGTCGGCTTGAATCTGAAGTTTTTTTCCTAGCCTATTGTGAGTCAAACAGCTTCTCAAATAAGAAAATGGACAGAACTTGATGTTATTAATTGGGTATTGATTGGATGGTTGCCGTCTTTTGCTATGGCTGTGATGTCATGACAGATTTGTTCCGCCCTCTTGTAAGTAAACATGTAATCAGAGAAGAAACATCAATTTTAGGAGGGCAAGTTATTTTGATGAAAGATCACAACCCCACACGCGCTAATGCGCACTGATAAAGAATTTATCACGGTACTCTTAAAATATGAATGATCAATTTTAATTTCACTGTGCCATATTCATCTTCCTTCTTTGCTCCTTTGTAGAGATGACTGATATTTAATCTGACTTTAAATATGGAAAGATAAAAGTAGTCGATAAGAACTTGAATTGCCCCTCGCTGCGCACAAATCCGATTTGGTTTTCAAATCTGATCTGTAGGAGCGACTGTCATTGAGCTAGTGATGAAACCTGATCCATTTGTTCAGACAGTGTAGTCAGTATCCGGTGCATGAACATGGATTGCTGTAGTAAT